AGGGAGACGTGCAAGGGCTGCGGCAGCCGAAGAGCAGGGCACTCAGGAGCATGTAGCTTCCCGGACTTTTCTGGCCTGGCATGTGGGCATCAGCTACCCAGAATGGCAGCCCAGGACCATCTGCTGTTGAGCAGGGCGAGCACTGCGGGAAGCGTGGTCAGGGTGGACTTTGCTGCCATGCGGCGCCCAGGATAAGGAAGGCTGCCCAGGGAAGAGGAGGCTGCAGCCGTGCCCGGGCGTCTGCAGGGAGACCACGCTACCTACTCACAGGGCCCATGGTCACCTTTCTACGTCCCTGAGCCCTCCTCCTTTATCTGTATAACAGTGGGAAGTGGGGACTGGTGCCTGTGAGGCTCGTGGCTGGCGCTTACTGCAGAAGCATATGTGGTCGTCGTTGGTGCTCGGCTTGAAAGATCATGTCTGATAGCGACCCTGGCGCTTCTGTAGCTGGGGTCCCACGAGTCCTGGGAGGAGAGTCTGGGTGGGGTCCGTCCTCACTGCCCCTGTGACTCGGGCTGGCTCTGTGCTTTGTGTCTCTGTGAAGGGGGCGAAGCCTCCCTATGCCGTGTAAGGGAACTTGTGAGAATAGTGGGTTGCACACGCTGGGAAGGAAGCGGAAAACACAGGCAAAGTCTGTGGTAATGGGGGGGGGCTGTTCACCTCCCTCCCAACCTGCCCTGGGGATTTCCATGACCCACTCTCGCTGTGTGATGGGGTTTGTCCTAGCACAAGATGTGTCGGTCTTCTGCAGGCTTCCCATTGCACACTTGTTACGTGCCAGATACATGTGGGGACTGTGTCTTCCCCTACACAGACAAGTCCAGGGCTGGGAGGAAGAAAGGAAGGATGAAGGAACCAGCTTTAGAGTGGCCTTCCCCTTGCCAGCCCAGAGAGGGAAGGGACCAGAATGTTATAGGTCTTCTTCTTTTTTCTCTGTAGCCCTGGCTGTCCTGGAACTCGCTCTGTAGACCAGGCTGGCCTCGAACTCACAGAGACCCACCTGCTTCTGCCTCCCGAGTGCTGGGATTAAAGGCGTGTGTCACCACGCTTGATATAAGTTCTTTCTTAAAGTTACCCTTCCTACCAGCCCCAGGCTGCCACCAGCCCCAGGCTGCAGCCGCCGCCGCCGCCGATGCCCTCCTAGTGTAGGGACAGGAGACAGTTTAATGAACTGAACTGGGGGTGGCTTAGTGGCATCATCAAGTTCTGCAGCCCCCTGTAGCCGTGGGGCCCAGCAGCATCACATGCCCAGGTTACCTACTAATGACCCACCATGAGGTCTGCTTGTCAGGGAAGTGGCAATAAAGACTGGGGAGGGGACCTTGCTCAGGAGGAAGGGCTGCAAGAAAGTCCGCTCCGGTGGGACTGGGTGGGACCCGGGTGGGACCCAGGAAGGAGGCGCCTTCCCACTTTCTCCTCAGTGCAGCAGGCCCCACCCATCTCCTCAGGCCCTCACGGCTTCTGAGCTGCCTCCCCACTTCACCTGACCCCCCTGAGGCTTTCTGCATGGGAGCCCCCCCCAGCCTAAGTGACGCAGTACTTGGCCCTCCCCGGGCCCCAGAGCTCTCCCCCACCCTCCCCAATGCATGGGCTGGCTGACTTCACTGGGCTTTGTCTGCCATCTCCTATCTCTTGCTTCCTTCCCTGCTTCCCTCCCCAGGCTTCCTGGGGTAGATAACCTAGATAACCCCTCTCTCCATTCCTGCCATGAGGACGACTTTGGAGACCCAGCCGGGGAAACAGCAGTGGGAAGGGTTTGCGGCCAGTGAAGTTCCTGTTTCTGCGGTGGGTCCTCCTTCCTTAGGGTGCCAGATGCTGGGTCCTGTGAGGGCCGCTGCTTCTGAGAAGCTCACTGTAGCCATTGCAGCTGCCGCCAGCTGAGCCACGAGGAGGAGGCTGCAGTGGTACCATCTAGCCAGGAGGGGAGAAGACACGGGCCACGTGACGCTGGCCTCTCCTCGTGGTCTTTGAGCAGCCTGTGGCTTGAAGGCCACCAGCAGGACAAGCTCAAGGCTCTTCAGACAGGGCTGAACAGCATCCACAGGGAGGTCTACGCGGCTCCCTAGGGAACTGAGGACTGGGTGGGTCCCAGAGCACAGCTCAGGCAGCTCACAGGTCTCTCCAGAGATCACTCCCTTCATCTTGCATACACGCAGCTTAGCTGGGAAGTGGCGTTCCCCTCCCCTGTGACTTAGCCCTGCAGGCCTTGGCATTAATTTAATTACCTGCTCATCTCCTGGAGCCTGGGAAGGCCCCTGATGAGCTCATGAGCGAGTTTTAGGGCCAGTGAGAAATGGGAGCCTCTTCTCAAGGAGGAAGGGCCCCGTTCTCCCCTCCTTCCTCTCTGCCCTGAACCATGGGGGACCCAGAGGCCTGGCATTTTAGGGAGTCTAGTTTGGAGAACTGGGTGGGCTGGGTGGGGACAGGTCACACATGGAAAAGTCAAAGTTGAGTGACGTGTGTGTGTGTGTGTGTGTGTGTGTGTGTGTGTGTGTGTGAGAGAGAGAGAGAGAGAGAGAGAGAGAGAGAGAGAGATTGCATGTGCATGTGTTTGTAGCCATGCCAGGGAATTTTATGTAGCAGAGAATCCAGAGGAGAGGTATGTAGGAATGCTTGCACCTCCCTGTGAGTAAGCCGCCTCCTCTCCAGAGCTCTGCCCAACGTGGTCCTAAAGGCTCGCCTGTAGAATGGGGCTAACCTTTTTCTTTTTTTAAAGATGTATGTATGTGTGCTTTTTCCGTATATGATTCTTGTAGATTAGGCTGGCTTCAAGCTGTCTGTATATTCAAGAATGACCTTGATCTCTTGATCTCCCACCGCTGCAGGCGTTCAGGGAGTCTGTGTGGTGCTGGGGATTGAACCCAGGGTCTCATGCATGGGAGGCAAGCACTCTGTCAACCGAGCCATGCCCCCAGCCCTCACGGGGCGGTCTTTGGAATGTACTGGACCGACCGCTGCCCAGCTGGTGTCCCAGAAGGACAGCTCCTCCACAGGAATTCCATTTGTACCTTTTGCTTTTCCACTCTTAGAGAGACCCAACATACCCGAGTGTGGAGCCTGTGTGAGGAGGCAGTTTGTTAGGGAGTAGCTCTTGGGCACTGACTGATACGTGAGAAAACGGAGGCATCTTCAGCAACAGCCTCCATGGCTGGCCAGGGTCCTCATGGGGGCTTTAAAGTCAGGGCCTGAGGGGAGAGACTGGTGTGGTCTGTCCATGTCTTAGGTTATATGAGTTACATCCCCTGTGTGTGAGGAACCTGTCCCTCACACTCTTGGAAACCCAGAGCTGTAATGCCGCTGGGCCCCACGACAGCAGCATCCCATTGGAACCACCCATTGGAACCACCCGGTGCCCGGTACTGTTGCCATTCCTGAGGATGGGCTGGCCAGGCTTACCAGGGAGCTGCTCTGCTGCTCCTCTGTAAAAGCCTCCGCATTCCTGAGAGGTGACTGTTGGGAATTTGGAGGAGGGAGGCCCTTGGTGCATTTGTTCCCCAGCCCCAGCGGGCTGGGCCTTGCTCCCTGCACCCCTGTTCCCACCCCTGGTCTGTACCAGAGGCCCTGCTGGTCCCTGTGGACCTGAGGGAACACAGTGTCCCTTAGCAGGCAGGTCAGGGTCCACCTGTGTGGGCTTAGGCAGGCCTGGAGACTGAAGATCCCGACGGGCAGCAGTGTTCTTCATTAGAGCCTGTGGCTAGGGGTGGAGGAGAGGGGCAAGATGCTAAGGCGAGACGGGTGGGCTCCCCTGGGGTCATGCTGGCTTTGTGCTGGAGTGGACATGTTCCCATGGTTGACGTGGTGTGCCTGTCCTGTCCACAGCAGATCCCAAGCCCCCTCTGTCCACCTAGGAATTATAGAAGCCCATGGAGTTTATTCCCCAGCCCCAAGTCCCCTGAGATGGATTCAGTAGCGGGCTTTGTTCAGAGTGTCTGCTGCCCCGTAACTTCTGAGGTTAGGGTTGGAGTAGGAAGTACCTGGGAGAGCTCACATCTTTTGGGAGCGGGGGATACATGTGGTGACTCCCTGAGCAGGTGGACAGAGTCCCAGCTGGCCACTTAGCCTTGTGGCCTCGAGTAAGAGGTGCAAAGTCTGTCTCATGGGCGGCTCTGTGGCTGTGAGGAGTCGCATCCTGTTAGGCTCACAGGGTGCTTTGGACAGGCCCTGTAGTCTCCATTTTCTGCTTGTCTCTTCCTTTCCTAATTCTGTTCCCTGACTCCACCACACCAGGTACCCTGCACCGCGGCCTAGGCTGGTGATCTCTGGTCTGCCGCTCTGCTCTGCTGGGGTAGCCAGGGATGGGGACAGCAGAACTGGGGTGGCGTGCAGTGAGATTTTTGCCCTTTTTTCTGACGGAATTAAAAAAGGGGGGCAGCGTGGTAAGGGTGGCTGGACTTCATTTCTTGGGATGTGTTATAGGTGGGTCTGCTGGTCCATATGATTTGTGACTGGGGACGTCTTCACAAGTGTCCCCTGGGGACAGGGTGGGGAGCGCGCACGAGCCTATGGTAGTGGGCTTTTTTCTTTCCACTTTTGTTTTACTTGAAGCCCTGAGCCCTCAGCCTATTGGATAGCGCCGCTGTCACTCAGGGTGCGTCTTTCCCCCTAAGCTGTATGTCAGTCACTTCTGGAAACATCCACACAGACACACCCCCACCCCCCAGGCATCTCTCACTCCCGTGAGAGTTTTTGATCACATTTGCCATGCCATTGCCCACAATCTCCCCACTGCTTAGTAGACAGGGAGGGGCCTCCTGGACTCTGGGCCCTGGGGTGGGCTGTCTCTGCCTATAGATACTTATGCCAGCTGCTTTTGAGCCTGAAATTTCTTGGAAGCAGAAGGAATCACCCCCGGGACATGTAGGCCAGGGAATACAGCATCCTCTCTCTGGTAACGGGATTTCAGGGACCACAGGGAGGGAGGGAGTGTCTGGGTAGGGTGGGGTCTGCCCATGGGGTGAGTGAACTGGTGGCTAACACACTTCTTCCTCTCTGTCCTGCAGATCCCTCATCCACCTACGTCAGGCCACTGGAGACCAAGGTGAAGCTGTTGGAGGGTGACAAGCCCCCCCCACAGGTAAGTGCACTACTGGCGCACCGGCTGCTGTACCCCAGTGGCCACTGCTTTGGAATCCGTCCACCTCCAGCTTCTCTGGGGCTGCTGTAGCTTCCTCCCTACCCCTGTGGTCTCTCCAGCCATTTCCAGAAAGCCTGATCACAGACTTAATCCTCACTCTAATCCAGGCTCTAGGGTGGCCAGGGCTGGCCGGCCATGTTGACTCCTTGTTTCCCCAGTGTGTGCAGGGTTCACACGGCTGGCACTGGGCCCAGCCAGAGACGAGGGTCCATTTTATCCCTCTGACAGACCCATATGGAACCCTCATTCCCTGCTAGCCAGTCCCTCACTAAGTCTGCCTCCCTGCCTCCCAAGCCCAATCCCACTCACATAGACAATGGGGGCTGTGGGTGGCCATGGCTGCTGGTGGAGAGGTGTCCCATGAAAGGGACATGCAGGAGACAAACATCTGTGCTGTTGGTGGGGTTGCCAGAGGGCCTGGTGATGGCAGGTTATGGGATGCTCTGATTAGAGTACCTGGGCCCAGCCAGCTTGACAAGTCCCTCCCCCACCTTACCCCTGGCTTCATTTCAGCCTCTCCATCCTCTGTTTTACCTGCTGGTCCATAAGTGAGTAGCCTTGGATGAAGCAGCCTTAGAAATAGCTCGGATGCTCAGCCCTGTTGCCACGTGACCTGCTAGCACAGGAAGACCATGGCCTCCTCTGTCTACTGGTGGCTATTGGGGGGCTCATATCTCAACAGTGAGTTTAGTCTCCGGGAGCAGCGGCACCAGCAGTGTTGGGGTGCTGAAGGGCAGCGTCTGGTTTGCTGGTTTGGAGAAGGCCCACATGCAGCCCGGAGGGAAGCGAGTCGCTCCCTCTGGTGTGGGTCTGGCCACTGTTTTCACTGTTTGTTGAGGGAAGACTAGCATCATGCTCCAGGGCCCCGACTCCTGTGGGACCTGTGGTTTGTGGGCAGCGTCAGCCTCAGTTTGGCCTTTGTCCCCGGGTAGAGGGAGGCAAGGAGCCCTTTTCCAAGTTCAGGATGCTGTTCCCACGGTCATTTCCACAGGGAATGTGCTCCACCGTCTAATCAGAGAACACCTCATGATCCTGTTTCTGCACGGGTTGGGGTTGAACTTTGTCTCTGCTCTTGGGGCTACTTTGTCCCTCTGGGAACTCCAGTTTCAAGTGTTGGATCAGGCCATGGACTTGTATTATAGATGAATATGAGAGCCATGGAATAGCAGCCCCTCCCTCCTCCCTCCCTCCCTCCCTCCTCCCTCCCTCTCTCCCTCCTCCCTCCTCCCTCCCTCTCTCCCTCCCTCCCTCCTCCCTCCCTCTCTCCCTCCCTCCCTCCATCCAGCAGCTATAGTCCCCCAAGGAGGACCTCCCCACCTACAGCTGTGCCCACTTCCCTTAATGTCTCCTGTGCAGGAGGCCGAGCCTTGAGGCCTGGTCTCACCTTTTCAGAGGGACTCTGTCTACACCCTGGCCCTCCCATGTGCACACCTTTAGGAGTGTCTGCACTTGCTCTGAGCTTTCTTGGCCCTGGGCTGTCATCTTTCTTTGGCATTACTGTCCTGTCACGTTCCTTCCTGTGGATTCCCGTCCCTACCCTCATCTGCCTGCCAGCTGCTTGAGGAACGGGTTGCTGAGCCCCAGTGGCCTCATCCGCATCTCTAACACCGCATCTCTAACACCGCATCTCTAACACCGCATCTCTAGCATCTCTAACACCGCATCTCTAACACCGCATCTCTAACACCCGGCAGCGTGACTGAGCTGGGCGCTTGAGCCAGCCCAGCCCCCGCAGCTGCTCCTCACCCAGTCTCCTAGGCCCAGAAGGGAGCTGATTCTCATGCAGGTGCAGGAGGGTTGATTAACTGAGGACGCTTGCTTTGTCAGGTAGCAAGGGCACTGTCTGTGTAGGCCACCATGCTGTGGCTCCGGGACCATGTTTGCCCACTTGAATCTTGAGCGAATCTTGAGGGAAGGACACAGTGATGGTCCTCATTCCTCAGCCTCTTGGCTCTGGTGTGTGGAATTTCATGATTCTGTCATGAAATCATATCCAACAGAAAACCCCCCAGCTCCTCACAAAGCAGAGAAATTGCGCACTGCCGAGAAGCAAGAATGAGGCAGATTCTTAGTGACGCCGTAAGGTGATGCGTCCTTGGGGTTGGAGTGGGAGGCCAGGCGAGTCTCCCCTGACTCGTACCCCCACCTCTGTCCCCCCATCCCTCCCCCCCCACAGCCTCTGTTTAACTCTGAAATAGCTTTAATTAAAAATGTGCCGGGGTGTTCACAGGCTAAATTACCGTAGTGCAGTTCATATTTTCTTTCTCGTGTCGGCTTTAAAATTTCATCAACACAGCTGCTTCCTCCGAGATGATTCATCCCAAGGCTCCACACACATTACTTTTCCTGCAGATTCTCTGTGCCCAGCCAGGACCCGGGTGGGGGCAGCTGTAATCGAGCTGGGGCCTCCGGTTAGCCCCCTGCTGGGCTGATAAATGATGCCTCCAGACCTGCCAAGAAGCCTCAACAAAAGAGCAAGCCATCCTGGTGTTCTGTCTCTCACTGCGGCCAGAGCCACCGTGGCTGCATCTCTAACACCGCACTGTGTGGTGTGGAGGGAGCTGGGAAGCACCCTTGCCCTCTGTTCCAAATCCCCGGAGCTCTCCCACACAGTGCCAGGTACCACGGGGCTGCTAAATGCAGCCCGTGATTTATACCAGACACAGGTAGAGAAATTGATGGGGAGTGCTTCCTGGCATGGAGGCCCTGTTAATTTACTTTGGCTGCTGAGTTCCACACACAAGGATGGGGGAATGCACAGGCTGCCTGCCGCACTTAGTCACTGTTTAAGAGGCTGGGAGTTGAAGATCAGGGTGCCATCAGGGCTGGTTAGCCTGAGGGCCTCCCCCATGCCCCCCACCCTTCTGACACCACCCCACCACCACTATCCAGGGCTGGAGGGGTCTACACCAGAGAGTGGTAGAGCAAAGGTCTGTCCCACACCGCTGTGGCTTCCAGGAGGTAAAGGTCACAGGATCAGATCTTTGCCCATGGGCACTGGGCTGGGACGGCATATAAATTTGGTCCTTTGGGCCTGTGTGAGCAACTGTGTGGAAGGCTGCCTGGAAGACGTCTTTCCCAAGCTTTCAGGCGTTCAGGACTTTGCCCCTGTCTCCTTCCCTCAGCTCCGAGCTGCCTGCTCCAGAATTCCTGCCCAAGATGGTCTACACCATCTTGATGCAAACTCCAGTTCTGTGGACACGTGAGCCCTAGGGACTCTTTGTTGTAGGGACAGACCTGCTCCTAGTTGGATGTTTGGAAACCTCTTTGGCTTGTGTTCACCACAACAGCTGTAACAACCAAAGATATCTTAGACATCTCCAGATGTCCCCAGGGGCAGAGTCATAGCAGTTGAGAAACACTGATTGCCAGACCCTGGGCCTGGGGCTGGCCATGCCAGCAACATCATTACAGAGTGTCCGGGTTCTACATCAGCTGGCAGCTGCCATGGATACCCTCTTGCTCTGCTCTAAGTGGTCTGAATGAACTGGCGGGTGCTATGCATGGCCTGACGTGTCTACAGGCTCTGACAGGCTCTGGTGGGGGCCAGTAGTCTTTGGAGACTCTGTTCTTCCTGTCTTCTTCCTCTTCCCATGAGCCCCCGCTTGGGGAATTCCACCCGAGACAAGCAACAACCTGGATTCTTGTGTGCTTTGCTCTAGATTACGTCTACTGAGGCCAGGTCAGTCTGTGGCCCTAGGCACCCCTGGTAGCAGAACAGCTTCCTAGAGGCCTGTGTTCTGCTTGCCCTGCCGTGCTCCCTGTGCTGCTTCAGTCCTCCCTGTGTAGTCCTCCCTCTCCTGCCTGGAGTCCTCCCTGTGCTGCTGCAGTCCCCCCTGTGCTGCTGCAGTCCTCCCTCTCCTGCTACAGTCCTCCCTCTCCTGCCCGGAGTCCTCCCTGTGCTGCTTCAGTCCTCCCTGTGCAGTCCTCCCTGTGCTGCTGCAGTCCTCCCTCTCCTGCCCAGAGTCCTCCCTGTGCTGCTTCAGTCCTCCCTGTGCAGTCCTCCCTGTGCTGCTTCAGTCCTCCCTGTGCAGTCCCCCCTGTGCTGCTGCAGTCCTCCTTGTATAGTCCTCCCTGTGCTGCTACAGTCCTCCCTGTGCAATCCTCCTTGTGCTGCTGAAGTCCTCCCTCTCCTGCCCGGAGTCCTCCCAGTGCTGCTGCAGTCTTCCCTGTTTCCAGCCTGGCCAGGGAGAGATGAGCTGATTGTTTCTAGGTGGAGTGATGCTTGCAGGCTGTTGAGGTCCCAAGTGTATTATTATTCAGACTAGCCCAGACCATTAATTACGCTTTGGTGACCAATCCAGGCCAAAGGCGGCAGGGGAAGGTCATCAGAACTGGGAGGCAGGCCCATGAGCGGGAATGGGAAAGGTGGAAAGTGGTGCCTGAGCTCCCGTGGACCCGCTCACCCATAGCCTGGAGGACCTGGGAAGGTCTCACCTTGATGTCCTGCCCATATCCATGGCAGGGGCGGTGACCATGGGCGCATCAGTGGGGTCCCCCACCTCCAAGATAGAAACAGGGTCTTTCTCAGCTGCCTTCCAGGGAGTTCCAGGGGCTGAGCCGCCCTGGGCCCTGGCCACGCTTCACCGAGTGGTACCCTCGGAGCTCAGGTTCTCCTGTATGTCTTCAGTGTCCTGGAGGCTGCCAGGGAAGGAGTCCGCAGAGGACCCCACGCCTTATGAACAGCCCAGCCCCCCCACACCAGTTGTACAGCAAATCCAGGCTCTAGGTCCTTGGTCCCTGTAGTTCTTTTCCTGATGGGCCTTCTGGTCTGAGTGACCCCTGCAGGCATGCCCCTGGGTTAGCTCACAGGATCCCACTCCAGGCCTGGCTGCATCCATGTGCATGGTGTCATGCTGCCCACTTGGTTTGCTCTCTCCAAGTGCCTTGTGAACACGTGAGTGCTGCATATTTTAGGGGATGAAATCCCCCTGGAGTAGGGAGTCATGCTCCCTGCTGCCTAGCCCAGGAAGGGTCCCTGGCACAGCCTCTGGTCACTCACCTTCCCCAGCAAGGGGTCTTGGGTGGATGGGCCACAGGGTTGGCAGCCTCCTTATCTCCACATCTGCCACCCCTTTTCTGTTCAGTACACCCCCCTCCCCACCCAAGACAATGCTTGCCAGGGTTTCTCCAGCATGACTCTAGAGAGGCTCGTTCCCCAGGGCTCCACCTGGAGAGACTCGCAGGTGTAGGAGAACAACAGAGTCTGGCACTGTCAAGGCCCAGTTGGGTCCAGTAGGGTAGCCAAAGGTCACATGCCAAGGCCTAACCAGGCACCCCTGGTTCAGAATCCTCCTGCTGCCCCTCAGAAGTCTTAGCAGTGGTCAAAAAGGGGTGTGATGGCCTGGTGTGCTCAGAAGAGAGGGAGGAGCACAGAGTTGGCTGTTAGAACTGCGGGGACTTGGTAGTGTTGCTGCAGTCAGGAGAAAGCTTAGGGAGACCCAAGCTCCTCGTGTCAGGGCAGGTGTACATCCTGGAAGGCCTTTAGCTCAACCGAGGCAAACGCCCTGCACCTCAAGGGGTCTGCAGCTGCTGCCTCCCCTCCGAGATGAAAACAGGAATTTGGTTCTGATCTAGGCAGCGCCTAGCAGCGTGTTTTCATTTGGATTTAAGCATGGCAGTGGTTACTCATTTGATGCGTCATTAGTCACATTGCCCCTAATGAGAGACTGTGCTCATTTCCCCCGCCCGCCGGGCTCTGTGACTGGCTGATAAAGTCCTGTGCACATGCAAATGTTTACAGATGCTCACCCAGAGTAGGGGTGGGGAGTTGTATGGTGCTAATTGGAAACCCCTACCCCACCCAAGGAAATCACCCCGAGGGGAGAGAGGGGAGGGAAGGGAAGGAGGGGGAGGAGGGGGAGGAGGGGGGAGGGAGCCTTAATCCACTACAGTATTTTCAGTTACAGTACTTGACAGCTCAGGAGCCTGTCTGATTGGTGGGCCAGAGAAGCTGTGGGAAGGGAGGCTCAGCCCAAACATAATCCTGTGTGTGGGTGAGGGCAGGGCAGGGCAGGGCAGGGCAAGGCAGGTCTTGCCATCCTGGTCCTTGGCTGAAGGAAAAGAGCCCAGGCTACAATCTGTTGCCATTCCTGATTCCGTGACCAAGTGGGATGTCATTGTGTGTTCTCTGCTGGGCTGGTAATCTGCCTTTGGTGTCTTTATTTTGTCCACTAGTCATGGCAGGGTGGCAGGCTTGTCTTTATGTCCCCACAGAACAGCACTGGTGGGCAGGGTCCCTTGAGGACCCATGGGAGTATTTATGTGGGACTTAGAAGGTGGTCTCTGCTGGTGAGTGTTCTGTGGTTTAGTTTAGGGTTTTGAGTGGAGCTGGGGTAACCCCTGGGGAGACATGATGGCCGTGGATGGGGTTAAGGAGTACTGGGTACAGTTGGAGAGAGTCTCTTTTCGTGAAACTTGCTCTTTGGGCGCTCCACTAGATCTGGCTCTTGTGCCAGGGAGGATGCATTTCCTGTGGTCTTTAGTGCCTTGGGATGCACTTCCTGTGGTCTTTAGTGCCTTGGGATGGCCTGACAAGCCCATGGTCAGGATACCGCAGCTCCACTTGACCACCAGTCACAAGGTCTTTTGGGAAGGTCTCTTTGCAGATGCTGCCGCTGGGGCACGCCTTGTGTAAGAGCCTAGTATAAGCCACTTAGGAGGCTTTTGAGTACCCACACTCAAGGTTGAGGAAACAGCTCCAGCCCTCTGTGCCTGCTCCCTCCCTGGCCTCTGAACAAACGCAGCCCAACAGATCCCTGCATACCCCATTGCCCTGTTGGCAGACTTCATTTCTGACTGGATTCTGGGCTCTTCAGTTTGGGGGTGTTATAGTCGGGGGAGAGGCTACCCCAGCTTTTGATCTGGTGGTCTGGACAGTCCTGTCTTCCGTCTGAGCTTTCATTGTCTGCCCTGCAGGTGCTAAAGGCCAGCGGCCCTGGCAGTTGGGTGCTGGGAGGTCTGGGAAGTGCGGGCTCAGCCCTATGAGCCTATGACTGGCAGGAGGCCAGCAGTGGGATGTGGGGATCCCTCCCAGGGTGGATGAGCAGGCTGCTGGGTGGGAGGAGGGACCCCTGGTATAGGGCTGCCGCACAGCTGCCCCCTTCCTGTCAGCCAGCCTGGCCTCCTCCCTTTCTGGCTTGTTTGGGGAACTCAGCAGCCTGCTGATTTATGGACATTCCTGTCCAGTTTTTATCTGCCCATGGCTCTCTCCTTTCCTTTGAAGTCTTGGTGGCTTAGGAAGGAAGGCTGTCCTTTGTGGGGCTGGACCTGGAAGGCAGCAAGTCTGGACCAAGCCTTGTCCATCACGAGGTTTCCCTGGTCCTTGGGGACTCTGGCTCCTAGTCTTGGGTCACTAGCCTGGCTTGCAGAGATTTTTCTTTCTTTCTTTTTACTCCTAGGGGAGCTATCGTAGGCCAGCACACGTGTGCCCATCTTCCCTCCTTATTCCTTTCAGGCACTGGCTTGCACTGGTCCCTGTGGATTCAGGGGTGGGGGTGGGGTTCTTTGACTAATGGCAGAGGCAGCCTGTGAACTGTGATAAGGTATCTAGGAGCATGTGCTTGAGCAGACGCGTTGCCATGCAGAGGGTGACATGCTTATTAAGAACAGTGCCTGGGTCAGGGCAAGGTCTTGGCATGAGGGGCCTTCCTTGATCTGGCAGCCCATCCCTGGACCTGACTCTGTCTTCCTTTCCCTTATAACAGGCAGGTTCTGGAGAGTTCCGGACGCTGCGGAAAGGCTTCTCTCCGTACCACTCAGAATCCCAGCTTGCGTCCCTGCCGCCCTCCTACCAGGAAGTCCTGCAGAACGTAAGTGTCCCTACCAAAGGTCCCCAGAGTTCCTGGTCCAGAACCTTTAAAATTGTTGCCCTGAGCTCCAGAGGAGACAAAGCTCAGACAGGCTGGTGACAGCCCGGGGCATACAGGTGGTCTCTGAAGCTTCAGTTATGTCTAGGGCAGCGGTGGGCAAAAGCCTAGGCTTGGATTGCCAGCCCCGAGTGACCTTCCTTACTCTCTACCCTCCTGGGGAAGGGACCCTGGGACTCACTCCTACGTCCCTGGAGCCTCGTGGGGACCTTGGGTAGGTGACATTGCTAGACTTTAAAGGCAGTGTCTGACAGCCATGGCAGGGGCTGCCGGGTGAACACTATTCAGTTGTTAGTCTGCAGCACACCGGAAGCCTGCTGGCCTGAGATTTAGGGTTGGGCCCTTTACCTAGGCTGTGGAGCTAGGGATGGAACCTCTTAAGTTTGTGGGCTCTGTACTGGGACCACCACAGTCCTCCAGGGTTGTGTGCTGATTGCTCGCCTGGGTTCTGACCTGCCTTGGATGGGGAGCAGGTGGCAGCTTGGAGCCAGGTCTCAGGAAGTGGCGGTCCATTTCTGGGTCACACTCTGTGCACACGGCACGTCTGTTGCCCCTCTGTGACTACAGAGAGGGCTGTGGGATGCCTTGCAATTGTCATTCTTCACACCTGCTCCGTGGGTCAGTGAGGGCCTTGCTGAGCACCCCTGAGATTGTCCCTGTAGCTGGTCACAGGCTTCACACCTCCCTGCTAGGCAGGCACTTCCAGTGTGGGCATCTGGAGGGACTTCCCGAGCGAGCAGTGTGTGGGTCCAGCCCCCGCTCTGTCTTCCCCACGAGGATCAGCAAGGCTGACCTTGGCCGCTTGGTGGGTCACAGCGATGGCACAAGAGGGCTCATGCTACCACTGACAGCCATCCTCTGCGGTTTCTCTTCTGAAGCCTGGCTGCCTTCTCCACCTGTTGACCCTGCGCAGGCAGCCAAGCCCACAGATTGCAGATAATCCAAATATTTATCCAGGAGCCCCACGGCCAGATGAAGCTTCTAATTGCTTCATGATGAAGGGCTCAAAGCACTAAGTGATGCCACCCCAGGCCCGACTCCTCCTCGTGGCCCTCCTACATGCTGCTTTCCTCCATCCCTGTGGTGTAGAAAGACCAAGAACAGCCAGGTGAACGGCATGAACCGAAGACTTTGAAATCACCGGCACCTGTGAAGTGCGGCTCTGGCTCTGGTGATGGGTCAGCCCGCCCGGTGCCACCCACTTCTCATGGCCTCTAGAGAACACGCCCCAGGCTCCCACAGTGCTGACAGAAGGCTAGTGGAGTGAGGGAAGGTTCTGGACGGCCTCATGGCGGGGGCAATGGGAGGGGGATCCTGTGTCTCACCCCACAAGAAGGACTGTCACACTGTTTTGAGGAGGAGGAAGTGAGCCTTCTGGGGCTGTAGTGGATTAAGGGCGTCATGGGCAAGGCCATACTGGTGGTGTCCAGATGGGCCTGGAGGTCAGGGGTCAGCTTGAGGCTGTGGATCGGCAGGTGTTTCTGTTCCATGGTGGCTATGACTCGAAGGCTTTCAAATCATCTGCCCTGTTTAGGATAGGGAGCCAGAGGGCAGAGGGCAGGGGTTGCTGAGGTGATGGGCAGGCCTTCGGGGTGCAGGGCTTTGTAGATGCCAGCCATAGCAGTTACCGAAGCTACTGACCCTCAGTGCTGGCTCTGCCAGGTTACTGCCTCCTCCACACTGGGGCCAGTCTCCTTAAGGTGCACTGGGATCAGTAGGACAGCAAGGTCAAGCATTGAAAGTCCCCAGGTCAAACGGAGTGTGTGGGTAGGTGCATCCATCCCTCCCTTCCCTGATGCCAGCCTAGGGGAGAGGTGCTTCGCAATCCCAGCTTCCTGATAGGAGCAGTCAGGCTTGGACAGGCGTCTTGGAAAAAGCTGGTCTCTACACTTTCAGTCCCAACTCTGGGGTGCCAGAGACCCGTGTTCCAGGCTTAGACCTATGCATACCAGCTGACTCGGGCAAGCTCACTGTCCTCATCTGTGGGATGGCTTTCTTTAGTCACTCAGGGTGGACCTGGCCAGCGCAGGTGATTGGGAGGCCTCAGAGGTCCGAGTGACGCTAACTCAGACAGTCTTGATCAGTCATTGAGCACTGAGCAATGCAATGGCGTTTCCCTCTTCAGAGCCCCAGGCCCTGCTCTCCCTGACACCTGCTGCTTGGGGGATGTGAGCCAGGAGGGTGGCACTGCACAGCAGTCATCCACCTGCTGCCTGCATTGAGGGGCCCAGAGCAGTCGGTTAGAAACTGGTGCAGATGAGGAACTCAGCCAGTGGCATCAGGGTGAACTGGGATGTACTGGGATGTAAGGTCTTCCCCTGGGACAGGGCGGCGCTACCCACAGGGAAGGGTGTGGGAACCCCTCACCTAGGGTGAGGTGCTAGGGCCAGGCCCCTCTTTATTTGTTTGGCTGGCACCCTCTGCTGGCTAGTGGGGGAAGTGTGCCTCTGCTCTAGGCTCTAGTCCAGCCTATCTTGGGCTGCAGCCCTGTGGGTTATACATCCCCGACCCTCTCCCTCCCTTTCCCTACTCCATTTTCCTGTTTACCAATCAGGCAGCCTGGGCTAGAGTTGTAGACACACCCACCGGGCATTCTCCAGGGTCTTGCTTGCTTCTTGGGACATAGGACCCCGTCTCTTGTCCAAGGGAGGAAACTGAGGCTCAGAGTAGGCTAAGGCATGACCATGCCCAACCCTGGCTTTCCTAGACCCCAAGCCCGTGGGGCTGGAGCCCCCTTGCCCGTGCTGGCTCTGGTTGATGCAATCAGGAGCAGACCAGCCTGTGAGGCCATGAGGCTGTGGGGATCATGCATGCCGGATGCCCGAGGGGAATGGGCTTGCTGCTCAGGCTGTTAGTGGAAGGCTCTGGGCATAAGGACAACCATAAGGCCCCGGCTTGTGTGGTGGCCTAGTAGAATGGCCAGGGATGGACAGGATTCGGCCCTCTTGGCTCAGTTTCTCTGATTGTTGGGAGGAGTCTTCAGGGTCCATGTCTTACAGAGAGAGTAGCTCTGTCTTCAGGCTGATCCCCAGGCGCCAGGGTATTGTCGTCTAGGGCTCTGTCTGCAGAGTGCTCCCTTTCCACTGCCCCTGGGGCACTTCTTAGGGTTTTCTTATTGCCCCACGGTCTGTAACTGTAGCCCAAGGCAGAAGCCCTTGCCTTGTTAATGGCCAGCAGAGAGATAGAGGCTGGAGGGAGGCTGCTGCGTCTAGCACTCTAGTAGACATTCAGCTTCCGACGGCTGGGTCTCCTCCTGCTCAGCCTGGTCTGACTTCTGCTTTTACCTCTGAACATGTGGCCAGTGGCTGACTCACCACCCAGGTGGTGAGGACTGGGCCAAGGGCAAGGGGCGGGAGCAGGACTTGCACAGGGGGTTTGAGCCCGACCCTTCCTTCTTCAGCCTGCTGAGTACCGTTAATCCCTGGCTCTTTTGGGATGCCCATGTTGCATCTACAGAACAGCATGCACGACCTTCCCCGCCCCACATATGGGGTCTTCTTCCCTCACATACAGGGTCTCCCCCACACACATCTAGAGTGCCCCCCCCCAACACACCTTTGGCTCTGCTAGCTGCCATGCAATCTGTAGAAGGGGTGGTGTGGCCGGGAAGCATGGGGACTTAGCCAGGCAGACTCCAGCTCCAGGGTGCCCAGCTCTCTCTCACCTGTGCGCCCCTCCCCCACAGTCCCTGTCTCGTCTTGTCTAGGTATTGGCTCCATGTAACAGAAGCTGGTGTTCACTCCAATGACAGGCATCTGGGGCCCACCTAGGGGGCTCATATGTGTTATTCTTTCTTTCTGCAGGGCCCAGCCTGCCCTGTACCTGAGCTGCCCTCACCCCCTTCCACCGTCTACAGTTCTGCAGGACAGAAGCCCGAGGCTGTTGTGCACGCCATGAAGGTAAAAAATGCACTATTTGCCCCTCTCGAGCGCACAGGGGGACCATGGGGTCATGAGGCCTAGGTCCCCGCCGGTGCTGCATCTCCAAGCTCAGGGCACTTGAACAGTGCGGGTGCGAGACTGTTTCTTGGTGGCCGGGGGGGGGGGGGGCACAGGATTGCCTGGAGCGCCATGGGACTTGTGCTGCGTGTGTCGCGTGTGTCAGTTGTCTGTCAGGTGTTGTGGCTGGGAAACTGGCCTAGTATTGGAGGGCAAGGGTTCTCCTAAGGCCCAAGAGAGGTGGGGTGTGAGTGAGCGAGAATCGAAGGGCCAGGCGAGCCTTGCCTCTAGGTACAAGTGGGTTTCAAGGGACTGGGGTCTAGAGTGGGCTTGCATCCTGAGCACAGCAGTGCTCCAGGCTGTCCTGCCTTCCTTTGTGTGAGTATCAGGGTTACCTCCCACACATGTGCATGGGCTCTCACTCTTAATGGCCCTTAGCACAGACTGCTGTGTCCCACATGGATGGGTACAGGCTGTCATGGTCTTTTGTAGCTCATGGAGCAAATCTACCTGAAGTCCCTGCCCAACCTCCCTGGTTTCTGTAGTGTCTCGTTGCTGGCCTCCATCTGACACTTGTTTCTTCAGGTTCTGGAAGTACACGAAAACCTTGACAGGCAGCTTCAAGACAGCTGTGAGGAGGACCTGAGTGAGAAGGAGAAGGCCATCGTTCGAGAGATGTGCAACGTGAGGCACTGGCCGGGGCCGGGGCCGGGGCCGGGGCTGGGTTGGTGCTGGCGCTGCGCACTGGCTGGGCGCTGGGCGTGTAGTTCTACCTGCTTCTCACTTGCACAGTTATGGCTGGGGGAAGCTGACTGGCTCTGGGAATCCTGGCTCATTACCACTTACTACACCTCCCCGCTTAGGAGAGGGCCACCATCTCTCACCACAACTGTCCCTTCCCAGTAGTGCCAGCTCTAGTCTTCGTCCCAGTCAGGGCCCCGGTTTCTTTGCTCATTGGTGCCCCCTGGTGGCCTCTGGCCTTGCAGTTAGTGCTCAGATCTGGCCATGCAAGTGGGACATTGCCCTGTGGCAGAGCCCCATCTTCAACTCCCAACTCCCACTTGTCATCTCTATTGGCCTCTCACAGAAGCCAGCAGGAAAGTGGCTTCCCAGGCTCTGAACCTGGGGGTCTAGGTGGGGTGAGATGCCCGGAGGTGTACTTCACGTTGTTTCCTGAGTCTATGGACGCCACTGGACATCTACAAGGATTCGCTCACACCTAGCAGCAGGCTGCTTGGGGGTCAGGCATAACTGTGATGGTGGGCAAAGGCTTAATTATAGCATCTCCACCTGCCCATGGTCTCAGCTTTCTCTCCCAGTTCCACGGCTCTGAAGACTTGGGCGAATTTGCAGGGTGGTAAGGCAGTAGGTATGTGAGGCCAGTGGGTAGGACCAGGGTGAGCCATCTACTTACTACCGTGTCCCTCCTCATAGGTGGTCTGGAGGAAACTGGGAGATGCTGCCAGCACCAAGCCTTCCATCCGGCAACACCTGTCTGGTAACCAGTTCAAGGGGCCTTTGTAGGGCCATTCCTCCTTGGACGTGAACTGGCCCTGCCTAGAGTCTGACGCCTTGGACTTAGCAGAAACTCTGGCCTAGCCACCATCTTCCTCTTTGGTGACTTGTACATAGGACATGGCCACCCTGGCTGCCCTGGTGTGACACTGACAGCCAGGATTCCACCTCCTGCCTCCCTCACCAGCAAACCTTGGGAAGATGAGAAGCCGGGGCTGTTTGCTGCAGCAGAGTGGCCGGGCAGCCTGGTTCCCTGTTTGAGCTCCATGTTGTACTAGCAACAACCTTCTGAGACTCCAGGGGCTGTCTGGGGCTGTCCTGCTCTTGGTGGAAGCCCCTCATCAAGCCTTCCACCCTGGCTGTCCCTCACACTGGACACAAGCCACCAGAGCCTGAATTGTGACACAGGTGGCACTTTCCTGCTACCCTGCCATAGCCAGGACCCTGGGTTGTGGAGCCCTGGCTCCCATGTGTCCATGGCTGGCTGGGAGCTCAGGGTTCCCTGCTATCTGGGGGTTGGTGCCTAGCCACCCTGGTGCCAGCTGCTACTTACTCGCATTCACCCTTTCGGCAACATCTCCCCGCCCATGCCAGGCTTAGCCGTCTCTTAGGTCTCTCCCGCGAGTTTCCTCTTCTGGTTTACAGCAACATAGGAATTCCTGGAGTGTGTCTGGGCCGAGCTCAGCATTCTCTTTGGACAGGAGGAACTGGGCCGTGGAGCTGGGTCACTGTCAGTGTAGCCTACCCCCAGGTGCACCCAGGGTCAGTATGGATGGAGCTGCAGGAGCCGCCCCTGATGAGTTTTCCTTGGGAAGGAAGGGGCATGACCTGGTTCTGGCTTTAATGTGCTGTGGCCTTCAGCAAGTCACTCAGCTTCTCTGGTCTCCTAGTAAAACTTTGGGCTGAGGTTCCTTTTTGCTCTCTGTTCACTCCAGAAACCACCCCACCTCGGTGGGCCTCTGCCCTCTGTCTAACATGAGCCCATGGGAACATGTTAAGTGGCTAGCCTGTTGGCCATGCTGTCTCCTCACAGGTCACCTCTCTGAGCCTCAGTCCCTCCCTACAGGGACCCGGGGCATTGAAGTAAGTGCTTCAGTGTATGCGATCATGCCTCACACGGGGAAGCATGACTGAGGGGTGCTTAATAACTCGTGTGAGGACAAGTGAGCGCTTTTGTGAAATGTACAGGTAGTGATGCGCGAGACCTAGAGGAGGGCCTGGCGTGCTGCTGGCATTGTCCCCGTGCCATGTGTTTACTTCCTCACTGATGGCACTTCCAGCCCCCTGCAGCAAGCACCTGAGCCCAAAGAGCTTGTCCTGGCCTCAGGCAGGTCTCCTTCAGGCCCCACCCACATCCCGTGAGCAAAGGGGACAGGCCAGGAAGGTGAGTGGCATCTTGGCTCCCCTCCCAGGCAAGGACCCGTGACCTTGGGCTGTTCCCACCATCTTTGCTGCCCACACCCTTGGGTCCCACACTCTCAGGGGAAAGGCCCACGGCCCTCCGTGTGCCCAGGGAGCATTGTGCAGGCGCTGTAAGGAACAGGCCTACTCTCTGGCTGTGGGGCGCTGGGAAGCTCCTTCTAGAAGAGCTGATGTATGATCAAGTGATTAACCTGTTGGTACCCCACCTGCTGGCCCGGGTACTCGGTGATTTCTGCTGGGCAGGCAGGACCCTTCCTGGTTCTTTGAGGCCAAGGAATCCCAGAGTAACCCTTAGGTAAATGGGTCCACACAAGGCGGGAGCGAGTCCCAGGTAGTCACATTTGTATCAGGATGGCTTAGCCACCACTGACTTAAGCAATAAGTAAAGGCACCTGGAAGCTGAAGACTGGCCAAGAAAAGCCTAGAAGCCACTTTTCCCTTCTGGAGAGGTGTGACCCCGTTCCTAATGCTGCAGAGGCATCATGGGAATCCAAAGAACATTTTTTGGAGAACCCCTCCGTCCTTCCAAAGGGTGGAGCAAGCTTTGCCCCAGCTTTTACCACTGGGCTGTCGTCTCAAACCTAACAGCCAGGAGGGGCTAGCAGCGACCCGGTGAGCCCTGGGCTGGGGAGGACAGGTGGTCTTCCGGAACCCCCCCCCCCCTTCTGGAGCCTTAGCTTTTGCAATGCTGACTCTCCATCTCAAGCTCACAAGACACTTGCACCTGGCTCCACCCCCCACTGTGACAGAGGTCATCGCCCCGCCCCATCTAGGTGGCCTACCTGGAGTCAGAATCTGCTGAGCACATTTCCATTCCCTTTGAACAGCCACAAGCTAGGGGTTAAAGACAAAGTGACCTTTCATTTTTCTTTCTTGAAACTTGAGAGGAGATGAGATACATACTACTGATTTTTTTTTTTTTTTTTCTTAAGCAACAAACTAAATGCATGGCTGCAGAGTGGCAGAGGTGTATTTTCATACTGTGGGGTAAAGTGCTGCTTTTTGGGAGGTGTTGACGGCGGTGAGATCTACAGCTGCCCCCTCTGCCCTGGCTGTGTAGAGAGCTGGACCCTGTGGACTTCGGCTGTTTCTACCTTTATTGAACCACTTTGATTTGTGGAGAGGGGGGAAAAAAATAGAACTTTTGATAGTGTGGTAAAAGCATTGATTTGAACTATTTTAGTAAAAGGAGTAACAAATAAGATTGTGACAGTGTCTATTTGAACTAGATAATAAAGGCCTCTTTGTGAGCCTGTCAGGTGGGTGTGTGGTGCTTGTCTGTTGTGGGCTGATGATGGCTGGCCTACAGTAGACATTGAGAACTACGCATGGTCACTCCCAGCCCAGGAATGGGAGGGTTCCTGATCCCTCTAGAAGCTTATGCACCCCAGAACACCTGTCCCTCCAAAGTTGGTTGCTTCTGCAGTGGACTGCATGTCCTTTATACTCGGGTCCCGTATAGACAAACAGTAGTTTCAGAACCGATTTTATTTGAGTAACTGACTGACGGATTCTCATTTGTAACCAAGATGGAATTCACAGTATGTAGTTACATTCACACTTAAAAAATATATCTCTATGTACAAGACTTTGCAAAGAGATGTAAACATACATTACTTTCCAAGTACAGACAGACCTCCCTTCTCCCGGAGGAAAGGAGACAGCCACCCAGCAAGGCAGCCCCCTCCAGACGACAGAGGACACAGAGTTACAAGCTAAGCGGGGCCACCTCACCTGCTAGGGCCACAGAGAGAAGCACTGAAAGGAGGGACAACAGCAGACGACAAAAATTCAGTCCCCAGGACAATTAGGCGCTGATGTCTAGAGGGAGCGTTGCTCCTTTCTGAAGCTATTCACTGAGCCAATGTGGCTACTTACCACCTTCACGAGCATAAGCAACCTGCGCAGGACACAGATGGCACTGAAGCACGTCAGGTGCTGCCCAGGGCACACTGCTCTCACCCTAGGGTCGGCCCCCATACTGTAACTCCCGGGCACACACAAGGGACCCTGCTGCTACCCACCCAATCTACTCAAGTTGGTTGGAAAATTCTTGTCTTTAAAAAACAGCAAAACAACAACAACGACTAGGGAAAAGGCATTCTGTTATCTCATCCAGGCTGCCCGCCCTAGCCCCCCAACGGGTGGCATGCCAGGTGGGGGGATGGGTGGGGGCACAGGGGGCTGCCCCCCAGGGGGAACAGCTGGAGGTGGGTAGCTGGCTGGTGGCAAACCCAAGCCCGGGGGAGGGTGAGGAGGGACTGCATGAGTGGGGGGTAGGCGTGGAGGTGGGGGTGGGAAATTGGGGTTGTAGGTAGGGGGAGGTGGGGGGTAGCCTGGGGTAGGGGGAGGGATAGCGGGTGGGGGGAAAGACGCTGGAGGTGGAGGAACAGGAGGTGGAGGTGGGTTGGGGGGGTAGACATGGGGGTGATAGGGAAGGTGAGCAGGTGGGCCATAGGCTGGGGGCAGGGCACCGTAGGAGGGACCCTCAGTCTTCATCATGGATTGCAGGCTCTGGTAGCCTTCTCCTGACATGTAGGAGCTGGTGGTAGACATCCCAGTCATGTAGCTGGAGGGTGGCGGGGGTGGAGGCCGATGTGGCAACGGTGGGGGCTGGTGCACAGGCGCCGGGTGGGCCGGAGGAGGGATCTGGACTTTGGGGAGGTCACTTGCCTCCACTGGACCAGCTGCTTCAGCCTCACCTAAGGCAGGAGCGAGGGGGGGCTTCCGGTCTGTAAAAGATAAGACCAACATGTCAGTAGGAAGACTCTGGGGCCAAGATGGCCAAGCAGATTTTGGGGGCCCCCTGGCAGCCTAACTATTAATGGGCTGCCATCCCCTAGGGCCTTTACAAAAGAACCAGAGGCTAGTACCGCCTCTGTGGCCCAATCAGTGTAGAGGTTCTGCACCTGAACCTTCCCACAGGCCTTCTACAATGTCCCAGGATGCTGGGTCCCCTCCCTAGTTACTAGGAACGCAAGGCATAAAATAAGCAGGCTCAGCCCAGTTCACCCCTCCTAGCACAAGCAGGTGAGGGCTTTCTGCCTGTCTGTTCCCAGAGCCCGAGCCTGTGAAATGACAGAGATGACATAAAAATCAAACACCCTGCATTCCACACAAGTGCCATTTTTGTCTTTGTTTTACTAAAAGAAAGCTCAAGCTCGCTGCCATAGGAGCGGCTTTCTTGGCCTTGAGCACGGGTGGGAACAACTTGCTGACACCTTGGCCTCCCTACATGTGCCACATCCCACCCGTGTTAAGCACAGCACTGCGGGCCTTTTCTCTGTGACTGCACGTGGACACAGAGAAAGCTACTTGGCAGCTGTTTGCTGCAGGTGTGAGCTCCACAGCTGGGGGTAGTCATATACACCCACCACCTGTCAGTACAGCCAATTGTCAGAGGTACAGGGCTCCTGAGATACACCAGCTCTCCTGCGCCCATTTCTGAAAAGAAGTACAAGTAAAGAAAGCTGTCTGGGAACCCTCCCAGCCCCATGTAGTGTGGGAACTCTATGCCCTTTCCATTGCTCTCCAGTGATTCTCAACAGTTGCTCAATCTTCACAACCCATCAAGAAGACATCCTGCAAACAGGAAGCAGGTAAGAGACTGAGAGCAACTGTTCAGATCCGGATAAACATTTTTTTGGCTGTTAGGGTTTTCTCGAAAGCTCATTTACCTCATGTATGTAGTTCAGTATTTCTGGGCGTGGCTGGTCAATGACATGTCAAGTTTACAGCATCTACAAATTCCTATTTGTGAAACTAGCAGTTTTGAAGGCTCCTTGCACAGTTATCTTTGCAGGACCCTCCAGGTCATCCCTCTAGCAGGTGGTTCCAAAAATGTTGAGCAAGTGGTGTTGGAGGCACATACCTGGTGGTGGGTGTGCTGGAGGCAATGGTGGGTGAGTGGTCTCAAGTTTGGGAATTTTAGGTGGTGGTGGTGGTTCTAAAAAGAAAAAGTGGGTTAAAAGTCACTTACACCCTCTCATGTAACAAAACCACATGGTCAGAGAGTTCTTTAGAGAAAAAAAAAATATGTATGGGCAAGGCATCCCAGGAAAAGAAAAGACAGCAGAGCTCCCATGAATCCATCAGACTCCTCAACATCAAGACTGTTCCCTGTCACAAGTCCTTCAACAACTTAAGGGGCAGTGAGCACTCACAACGGAAACAAACCCTGCATAGCAGTGTCATGGTACCAAGTCCCCTAGGTGTTTATGAGAAGAAAATTCTCAAGTCTACTTTCTCTCTCAAATACCGACTTCCAGCTGGCCATCTGTGAGCTGTGCATTAATTGAGGAGAGTGGAGATCTGGAAGCAGATGGAGAGAGAATGTGCAGGTTGGACAACACCACTCCAGGCAGGGGCAGCAGCATAACCTTAGGGCAGGTGCCATACCACCAGTCCCCAAAGTAAATTTGTGGTTACTAGAACACGCTAGAGAAGCCTGACCCTTCAGCAGGCAGGGAGCTCATGGCTGTTTCTGTGGAGGCTTTACTCCCTCCCGAGCAGCTTGCTTCTGGCCCTGCCACTGGTTTCTTTCCCACACTGCTGACCACTCTGGCCTCAGGTCACCAACACTGTCTGGATCAGAGGCCCACCCTCTCTGTGGTCCAGGTGCACTTCCCTCCCTTTCCTTGCTGCAGACATGGTTATCACCATGCAGTTCCAGGATGGCCTTGAGCTCAGGGTCTTCCAGACAGCTGGGATAACAGGCTCAGCCCGCACAAGTAAGTTAACTTCTAGGCCCCACCTCTCCTCCAGAGTCACACACTGCGTCCCTGGACCCCAAACCAGTCCCACTCTGTAACTGCCATCGTTCCCATCTTCCTCTCCCCACAGCCAGGACAATTAAAGCTGTCTCCATGACAGTGGCACACAGCTGTGTGAAAGCCACATACCTTTCTAACTGCCAAGTGAAAAAGTACAGCCTGTGTTACCAACACTTTATTTCAACATGTACTCAATATAAAATCCTATTCATAACTTTTACTCCCTCTTTCTTTACACAGCCTTGAAAGAACACTGCACTTGGGAGGCAGAGGCAGGTGGATCTCTGTGAGATCTAGGCCAGCCTGGTCTACATAATGAGTTCCAGGTCAGTTAGAGCTACCCAGTGAGAGAACTTGTCTCAAAGCAAAACAACAACAACAACAACAAGAAAACAGAACCAGAAGTAACAAACAATTTAGTGCTGACAGTCCCTCAGATGCGGCCATGTTTCGAGGGCTGGCCTGGCCTCAGTGGCTGTGACAAGCTGTACAGCGTGGGGAGCTTCCATGTCAACAGTGCTCCCCAGGCTCCCCCTTTCCTGGTCTGATGGCCACTGCCAAGGTATGTTCATTATCTTTTCACACCTAGGCATTTATACTATTCATTATCCTACCAATGCTGCCGGGAACCTGACTTCAAATGAGCTCCCAGTACTAGGGAAAGTCTGATTCTCCATGTGGCCTATGATCTTGTCTTCACCCAACTTGGGAATGCAAACCCAAGCTTTCAATACTATAAAAGGGTTCTTCACACACCAATGACACCTGCCCTGTCTGCCCTCACACTCCCAGGCTTCCTGGAGGCAAGCCCTCCCTCCAGGGTTGATGGGAGATGTCATTCTGTATGTTTCTCATACTGGTTAATAATAAAGCACTGTTGGCCAATAGGAGAGGAAGATAGGAGGGACTAGAAGACAAGGAGGAAGTAGTAAGGAGGAGTCAAGATGGAGAGTCTGGAGAAAGCAGTATGCCGCCGGCTCCCCGGTAAGAGAAAAACATAGATCAGCAGAAATGGGTTAATACTTAAGACAGAGCTAGCCGATAAGAAACAAGTAGCCGGGCCAACAATGCTGTATCAAATACAGAGTCTCTGTGTATTATTTGGGGCTGGCGGCGCAGCAGCGGGACAAGACCAGCGGTGGCGGGCGGAAAAAACCATACTCTTACACAGGGTCACGGTGAGCCAGCTTCTGTGTCTACCAGAACCACACTTGCTTATCTTGACTGTATACGTCACATGGCATGGACCACAGCCCACAGTTTCTTACCCTCAATGCCTGTCATTGGAGCTAAACTTCATTCACCTGTACCGAACTCATCCTTCTCCCAGGGAGGTGAGAAGACCTTACCACACTTTGACTTTCAGGAATGCAATGAGACTGACATAGGCATGACCCTAATTTCCTGTTCTCAAGTCCTTCAGATTCTGCTTATTCCCAAAGTAACTTGTGGAAAATAAAACCAAACCACAGCAAATGTTACAAAGGGCTTTGGCTTTCTTAAGCAGCTAGGATATGTCCAGGGAGTACCTGTGTCCTCTGGCTGCCCACAGGCTCTGTGGCCACACACTGTCTTCTAGGATGGACTCAACTCCTCTGTCACAATAAACACCACTAAAAGTCACCCATTCATGACTATACCTTCACATGTAGGGATCTCTAAGCACAAATTTTTACTTGTAATGTCTCCACTTATCAACACCTTTAGTCAAAGTACAATCTAAAAATAGTCTGGTGATGAGCAGAATTGACAGCACTCACGCTGGCAGACAATGGTAGCCAGGGGCTCTAAGATTAAAGCTGCTCTACACCTGAAAGTCTGCAGAGAAAGGAGAAACTGGAGGCCTGCTCACCTGCGGTTTTGTTCTCTTCCTTGGGTGAAACCACCTGTTAGGATAAGAAGCACAGCTGTGAATTCAGCCTAGGTTGGGTATGAAGAGCACACTAAACAGTGGCAGAACACGGCCCCTGGCAATATTCCCTGTGACCTGAACTTGCAGGGCATACTACTGGCACCTAGGAGGTCATTTCTGTTTCCTCCCATCCCCACAGAGCCTTCAGGCCCTCGGTGCAGCGAAACCTAGGGGCTTCTGGTGGGAGCTCTAGAACAAATGGCTTCCTTCCTCCCCTGGTCCCTGGTCAGACTGCTGCCATGGGAAAGATGGCGCTCCACAACCATCAAACTTTATAAACACACCACGCCACACATCGGAACTAGGTTCCAATAGACTTCAGAGCCCACTGTGGTAAGAGATGCAATGAAGACGCAGCAGAACAGTGTCTTCCTGGCTCTCTGAGGCCATCAATTTCCAGACTTCTGGATGAACAATCTGACTAGATTTTGGCAGGTTCACCTCTTGCCTTGGGTATACATGGAAACCTTTAAAAATGGGATTAGCATCAAAGCGTGAGCTGCCAGCTGCAAGCCCACTCACCACGGCACGCTTAGCCTGTCGGGGAGGGCTAGGCTGTGGGGACGGCTTCTTGGGCGGTGGCTGCTGCTGCTGCTGCTGCTGCTGGGCTGACTGCTGTGAGTCCTTCTGCTGTGGCTGTGCTGCTTCAGAACCTTGTGATGGCTGTGACTGTGGCACTTGTGGCACTTGTGGTGTAGGCTGAAGAGATGGGGGCTGCTGCAGCTGATGAGGGGTGTGATGAGGCATCTGTTGTTTCCCTTGTGAGTAAAGATCCAGGATTTGGTGGCAGATGTCTAAATGACAGCAACAATTACATTTACCACAGACCAACATTTTAAACCAAATTTTACCTAGGGGAGGAAAAAAAAAAATCGCCTCTAATTCTGAAAAGAATAAGAAGTGATCACATTTCAAAGTCTCCTAATCTTTGCTGTGCACAAAACTGGGCTCTGTTTTTAGTTCATTAAGCTCTGTGCACAGACAAAGGAAAATCATATTAGATAACCTAAAGATGCTACTGACAAACCAGGACAGCTACTGATCTTGGAAAGTCCACTCTTAAGACTTGGGGACCAAAGGGAAGGATCATCAACATTCTTAAAAGGAAGCTAGGCATGCCAGGTACCTTCCAGAACATCAACAGGGACATCTTGAACAAACTGCTCCCACCATCTCCTGTACATGGGTTTGGAGGTCCACTCTTGTATTTCAAATTTGCACAAACGTCCCGCAAGATACATTACTGCTACAGCTATGATCTCTGGCTCCCACTGCAGTGACAGGGTGGTGCAGAGACTGTATCAACAGGGAAAGAAAACCATGGTTTGCATTGTGATAGCGAACATGCATGACCAAATCAACACATAGAAATTAGATGTCATATTTACCAAGTAGGTTACTTAATTACCTACAAGGGCCATAAGTATTATATATTAAAGAAGCAAGCCTTTAAGTGCCGAAATAAGCTGCTGTACACCATGGTTACAGACTTGCTTTCTAAAGGCACGACCTGCAGCACATTTCAGAGACTGCTGTGCAATGTGGCAGACAAGATCGGGCTGTCCTCTTTGTAGCTGCGAGAACCCACACAGTGTACTGTCTGCAAATGAACTCTGGTGGTTGCTCTGCAGTCTGTAAGTCAGATTCCAGATGCTTCTCTGCAGGTCACAGAGTGCAATTGCCGGGACTATAGTTACTGGCTCATTAGGGACATTTAGGTTCTGAAATCACAAGAGACCAAATGGGCCCTAAGCAGTCCAGCATCCACTCTCATTACACTTTCTCCATCCCCCCTCACATCACACTAACGCAACAGGGTGAACGAAACCCATGTGGAGAAGCAGGTGACCTGCAGTCAGTTCTGGGCAAGTCAATTTTCTTCTATTTGGAGTTGAGGGGTTTGGACTAAATGGTCCATACACCTTTGCATCTTTTAAAACATTGATTCAATCAACAACTGAACATGCATACCTGTCATTTACAAATGTCCATGCCATTTGAACCAACTTTTGAATTTTGTTTTTATCACCTAGAAATGAGAAAAAAGAAGTACATTAACAGAAATAGTAGGAAAGACAATTCACAGGAAGTGGCAAGCATTTGCTTAAATTCTATTGTGTGCCAGCACAGCAAAGAGCTTTTGAATAGAAAATGATGACAAATGACATGGGTTCACATCCTACCTCTTGATATTCTCTACATGACCTACGCTGAACCACCATTTATGGGAAATGTGGCTCCAAGGCTAATTTTATTAGTCTATTTAAAATCCTGACTCATTTCCCTGTCTCCTATCACTTGGCAACAAGATGACAGAACCTGTTTCTGCATAAAGGAAAAGCATTAACAACTCCATTATTGCACTGTCTGAGTGAACCACGTCTGGGTACATTATACAGGGAACTTTCTATTTTCCCCTTTTGAGAAACATAATCTAAGCCCTGTCAGAATGAAAGTTTTAGAAAAACAATTGGGGATGTGGTTCCTCTTGCCTACGACATGCAAAAGTCCTAGGTTCCATCCCTAGTACTATAAAAACCAACCACAATCCAACAACAACAGAGTGACCCCCTTCATCTCCTCACCTTTGAGCTGCTTTGCGTATCTGAGTAGGAACTGGTATGGATGTTCCACTTGTAAATCAAACTTTATGGTCTGCAGTAAGATCCTCTCCAGCACCATGACTTCTTCCTACCAGTAGCAAATGTTCAAAGGGTAGATTATGACCACACTCTTAGTTCTATCTTAGCAAATGTTCTTTGCTCCTTTCTACCTCCACTTTTAACATGGGTGCACAGTGATAATCTAAAATTTCAGCAACAGGTGGACAAACTAGTCTGAGACACCCCTCACCCCACCCCCGCCAAAAAAAGCAAGAAGCAAAGGCCTTAGAGACATTATTATGGCAAATACACAAACCACCTTGGAAAAGCAGGCCTTTGAAACCTGACTTTGAAAATCTATTGAGTAAATCTATGTGTATGCATGGTGAGAGTGTGTGTGCGCCATGGCGTATATGTGGAGGTCGATCTGGTTCTCTCCACCCACCTCTATGTAGGTTTGGGGGGGTGAATGGGGTCCCTACAGTTGCATAGTCCCAAACGAAGCATCTCAAGTGGTTCCACTTTTGTTTGCAGCTTTTGAGGTAAGGTCTTGCTGTAGCTCAGGCTGACCTGAAACTCACTCTGTAGTCCAGGCTGGCCTCAAACTCCCAGTGATCTCCTCTGTCAGTATCCCACATGAAGGAATTACAGGTGTGATCCACTTTGCCAGTCTGACCTTTTCTTTATAGTAGCTTACTAAAAAAATGTAATCCCTCAGTACCTTCCACTGGATGCTGACATGAGAGGAAACAGGTGGTTCCACAGTTCAGAAGAGGTATGCACAGGGAGAGATCGTATGTGCACAGGCTTCATCATTCCCAAGCTTCACTCATTCATAAATATGCTGAACAGAGATCATTTGTTCTATCTGAAATGCCACCTCAAATCTTAGCCACATAAAGCCCCCTTTGTTCATCAATCTCTCTTTACTGCTCTATCACAATCCGAGGAGGAGGTCTAGGGTTTCCCCCTGCTCTTTACAAACATAGGTTCTGCACATCTCTCACCATGCACACCTCTATTGTGACTGGGAACTTACTGAGTACAGAGTGACTCGGGAAATGGAGACTCCCAACAGTTGTAGAGTGCTCTGTCCTCTGCAGGCTTGTTCTTTAGAGCTTTACTGTTGTATACCGACTCTCTGTTCTTCATATTCTACTTAGCTAGTGTCCTTAAACAGACATTTCCTGAAGTTGCTCACCACCCTGCCCGATGACGCCTAGACTTACAGATACTGTGGGATCAGAGGAAGCTTGTTTGGAGAAACAAAGGGCAGAGAACCTCTGATCATTAACTCTGTACAACATGAGTTCTGGGAAGAAGAGATGGTAAGTGGTTCTCACCCTGGAGCATTATGTCAAGAGATGTAGATAATTCTGACATTTAGTACTCCTCATCACATGGCAAGTCTGAAGTTTTGTACCCTGCTTTCCCAGTGGTCTCTCATGAAAGCGTTCTAAAATTTTAGGAACTTGCACACTGTAGCAAAACCTCCTTTTCTTGCCCATTATTATTATTACATCAGTGCCCGTTTCCCTGAGGCACCTGCATTCTCTAAATGTCGAAGTCACTTTTACTGAGTATGCCAGTAACTTCCAAGCTGTGGCTCTTCAGTCTAACAAAGACAGCCCCCAGGTCTACCCTCCCTGTGTGTTTCAGATACTCAGTTAATGGGGTAATTACAGGTCTCCTCGAAAACACTATCCTTTTTGTTCTTGTTTGACACAGGGTTTCTCTGTATTGCTTAGGAGCCTGTCCTTGAACTAGCTCTGTAGACCAGGCTGGCCTAGATCTCACAGAGATCAGCCTGCCTCTGCCTCCAGAGTGCTGCGATTAGTGTGTGCGCCATCAACACTGGGCCACAACACCCTTCTTCAGGGAAGCTTTATTAAGCCTCTGCTTGTCTGCGTCTCTGGGTAGAGTGCTCCCACAGCATCTTCAAATGATCTTTTATAGCATGTACCACCATAGCTAACAGTCAGGTAAATGATTATGGGATTAAAATCTATGCTGCCAGTTCCTTGTAGAATCTACTACAGCAAAGACAACACCCTGTTTTGCGTCTAGTCATAACACAGGGGTTGAAAAAAGTATCCTATTCAATATGTAAAAAATTCCAGACAGGAGCCCTGGAAGAAGAAAGGGGGAGTTGCCAGCTGGAGGCAGAGGAAGCAACACATTCAGGGAGACAGGTAAAAGCCACAATCCTCGTGGCAACACTTAGATTAATACAAATGGGATAATTTAAATTATAAGAGCTAGTTAGAAACAAGCCTAAGCTAAGGCTGTTTTCATGATTAATAAGTCTTCATGTCATTATTTGGGAGCTGGCGGGACAGAGACTCATTACATGTGCACACAGGTATTTTGCTGGGAAAAACCAGTTGAAGCATAGCTAGTACTGAAAGTCCCCCAGCTAACCACTTTATTTTTCTTGAATACTTACACGGCCAAAGCAATCATTTCGTTTCTGCCTAGGGAAAATTGTCTTTCCTGACATCCTTGTCCTCTGATCTGTGCCTCTTAGCTCTAATATCACCTCTCAGAGACTGTGCATGACAGATAGGAAGGGAACAGAGCTGCTCACTTAGTCCTCCCTTTCCTATTTACAGTGCTGAAGGTTCAAAGCACCCACAACAGTACACAGTAGCTACTATTAGATACATTTGCCCCATAGTGGTCACAGATCGGTAACATCTTCCCCTAACCCATCTTGGCTACAAAGATTACTTGCCCTGCGGCTAAGGCTTGGCTGAAGCACATGATTAATAAAATGAAGGACATAAGACCTCACCGCTCTGTAGAAATCTGATGTCCACGGGCATAGAAAATATTCTTCATGGGCTTATTTTTTAAAAAATAAAACTGTATTTCTGATTATTGTTAATGTAAATTTAGAGTAGGTTCAAATGTTTATAAACAGGGTAACATATAATTAAATTCAGGGTCAGGATGATCCACAGTGACAACCCTTACAAAGCATTAGTGTTAGTCATAACCACAATATGTAGCTGAGTATTCTGGACCCTGGTTAGTTCTGTAAAGCTGTAAGGAAAATGGCTGCATGTTTTATACACACATATAAATGTTGCTGGAAAAAGAGAAGATAGCTGTTATGAGATACTACAAGATAGTTAAGAAAGGTAAGACTGGTGGGCGAGAGAGCACAGTGGGTAAAGGTGTTTGCCATCAAGGTTAACAACCTGAGCACAGCTGACCTCCACACACGCATGCCCCTTGCCTCCACACCAATAAATAAATATAACTTGGAAAATTTAAGATTCCTTGTAGAACATTAATTTGACCTTTAGTGGACAAGTAACTTGAATGTCTTTGATCAGACAGACAGTCTTGGCTTGCGTGGTCTTACAGGTGAGATTAGAAAAAGGTTATCTGCATGAGTAGTTGGTAAAAAATCTAGAGCACAGAGGACTTGCAGGACCCAGCAAGTACACAGTACCACACTGTGATAGTAGATACTTATCACATTTATCCAAACTCACAGAATGTATAAAATCAATGTTTGAACCTTGAATACTAGGGTTGGGGGATAGAGGTGTATCACCTCTAACAAACATTCCGTTCTGCTGGTAATAGGAGAGACTGTGTGTTGTGATGAAGGAGTGCATGATAACTCTTGGTACATTCACATGATTTGGCTGTGAGGCTAAAACTGACCTAAAAACCAGTAAACTCTTTGACTGGCCATTGTGGTCCATGACTATATACAATTCCAGAACCTGGAAGGTAGGCTGAAGCAGGAGGACCGGGGGTTTAAGATTATACACTGCTAGACCCTGGTTCTAATTTAAAAAACAAAACACAACTAAAACAACAAGACAACTTTGGAAAAATGTAACTCCCAACTTATGACAATGTTATTATAAAGGTGACTAGCAAGTGCTGTGCGGGTTAGACAGGGCACTAGGTGGGAGCAGAGGTCCCGAAAGTGGCACCGTCATATAATAAAAATGTGCAGTTATCGTAACATTATTTTCTGACACTAGCAGGGCCTGGGAGAAGACAAGACAGAGAGCTTGAGCAGTATCAGTCTCTGGAGATCTAAACGTGTTACAAATATAGTACCTTGTACATTCTTAAGAAGCTAAGACACAGGGCAGTCAGATGAGACTCAGCAGGTAAAGGTGCCTGCTTCCAAGGCTGACCACCTGGGTTTGATGACCAGATGGAGAGAACCAACTCCCTTAAGTAGTCTTCTGGCTTTGAAAGGTGTGCGCACACACATGTATGTGTGAGATATTTGATTACAGTGTGTAAAGAGAGCTCACTGTGACTGGTTTAATAAAAAGCTATATGGCCAACAGCAAGGCAGGAGGTATAGGCTGGACTTCCAGACAGGAGCCCTGGAAGAAGAAAGGGGGAGTTGGAGGCAGAGGAAGCAACACATTCAGGGAGACAAGTAAAAGCCACAATCCTCGTGGCAACACTTAGATTAATACAAATGGGATAATTTAAGTTATAAGAGCTAGTTAGAAACAAGCCTAAGCTAAGGCTGTTTTCATGATTAATAAGTCTTCATGTCATTATTTGGGAGCTGGCGGGACAGAGACTCATTACATGTGCACACAGGTATTCATGCTAAACAAATACAAATGTAACAAAGAAGAAAACACAATAGTACATGTCTTCTTGGGCCAGAAGCAAGCCAGCTGGGAATGGGAGTCTGCTGAATCCACTGGACATGCTACCATTCTCAGAGCTCTCAGGTGCTGTCCTGCACAACAGGAGAACTTGGCAAGCCTAGGCCATATGACCTCCTCTTACAAAGCCAGGAAGGCTTTTCTCTAAGGTCCTCTCAGGAACCCAAGAATTGGCAGGCACAGTAGCTAGAGCTCTTGCTAACACTCCAGGTGGTTAAGATCTGAAGGCAGGAAGTTTGGGTTCTTACCTTTGGGTCATCTCCAAACTGGCCAAACTGGACATCATTTAATAAGCTACGAGCTGTTTTGATGATATCTTTACATTTTTTTGGCGTTTCCTCTACTTTCCCAGCCAGAAAGAGACAACAAGCTCCTGTTACCTAAAAGGAGAATAAACACTCTTGATTGGTTAGCACAGGTCCCATGGGACAGCATGAGAATATACTGATCTTACAGTTAGCCAGTCGTCAGTCTCCTATCCACAGCTCATTGCGAATATCCCAACACTCTGAAAGCTGGAAGGACATACTACAACTCTAAAAACAAGTGGCTTTGTTAACCAATTAAAGTTCATGGTATTCAGGTTGTGGTGTGTGTGTGTTTGCCTAGGATTCATGGCACCTTGGGTATGAGCCCCCAGCCTGCAACAAAAAAAGCTTTCTCCTGGCACTTTCTCCATTCGCATGGTCCACTTCCTAGATATAATTTATATCCCCCTTAAATATCACAGTCTTGTCTGTACACCTAAGTTATGGCTTTACTTAAACCCAAGTTTATCTTGGGAAAGATAAGTAAATGGTTATCTAAATTATAGTAAGTCTGTGGTCCATACTGATCCCTCCCAAAAAAACGTCAACAAGGTTAAGTGGAAAAAAACAAAATTCAAAATGGAATTGATTTATGTGTAGCAATTACCACATCAAAACAAACATATTCTGGAAAATAAGATGAAAAGACCCATTAGCCAGTAGAGATAGCAGCATGTGAGAGTCACACTTACGTATCGTGGGAATTGCTTGAAGGAATGAAACATATAGAATCGATGAAAATAAATGATTCCAGTTGCCAGGGTGTCATAGTGTCTGTTGTCTGGTTAAGGCTTTGTCTAGGAACGGCTATAAGTTATGTTCTTAGCTAATTCAGAGAAGCAATAAAGATAGACAATATCAACAAAATCAGCCACCAAGTAAACAGGTGGGAATCAGGGTATCAGAATTCTAGTGTCAGACTGAGAACTGCCAAGATTTGTAATTTAGCAAGCCATAAGAAATGCTTGAGATATTATCTTACTGGGGCTGTTTTCTTCCTCAGTAGCCATTTGCTCAACAGCTGAGTCAACACATTTAAATAAGACAGACAGAATCCCTCAACAGCCAATCTGACAACTTTGATATCAAAGGCACCGAAGACCTGTGTTAGTGCAATCTGTCTACGGTAGCTAATCTTATTCTTGGTGGTAAAGAACTTATTCATAACAAATCCCACAGAGACTCAGGATACAACCCCAAACGTGTGCCCACATCAAAGATGAAGCGAGCCCCCTCTCGGCGGTACCGGGCCTCAGTGGCTGGATCAAGTCCTTCAAGTTGTGAGGGTGTATGTGCCAAGTCCTTCTTATCCCAGTACCAACATGGTTTTGTGTGGTCCAGGTTTGCTGATGTGACTGAAGGGCTTGAATTTTCTTTGTTCTCCTTCATTTATTGAAGTAGACTTGTTCTTCCCAAAAGGGCTTCTGGAATGTTACAATCCTAAGAAGAAAAGATACAAAAAGAATGCCACACTATTAATTCTAATCATAAATAATCCTCAACCACACAACATGGCTGACACAGGATCCCCTCACCCCCCCCCCCCCAAAACATGATTAGTTAAAAGTTCAGGGTACCCTCTCCAAAGCCAATTTGACACACATACACTATTCCAGTACTGATAAATCTGAGTTAATGTTGGTTTAGCACAGCATTCCATACTGTGCATTCTAAAGGGTTAAAGCTAAACACAACTGTGGAGGAAACTAAGTATGCCCTGCTTCCTTCCTGCCCTTTCTTCATGGACATATAACCTCTGCTGCTGGTTTAGATTCCATTCGTCAGTACAACCTGGGCTTGTCTGACACACTATGCTCATATTACCCAGCTCTACGATTAGCCCCTATTGGTCAGATTTCCCAGTTTTTACTTTACTTGATTTCACTTAAGAATGTCATAAGACTGTCATAGGAGTTATTTAATTTACACCCACACAAGTCTCTGAGCCATGCAGCTGTATGGGCAGGAGAGGGTCCATGAGGAAGCATCTCCTTTAGATCCTTCTAGTTTCTACTCCCTCGTACCCCTCCAAAAGTCCTAGGTTGACAGAAGATGGAAACAAGGAGTTTACCCAAGGGCACAAGTCAGTACCTTGTAAAGTGGCTCCAAAGCAACTTTCACCCTGGCAGCAGAAAAGTTCCAAATGAGGGAGTGGAGTCAGGCAGCCAAGTGAGCAAAAACCTAGTTTCAGGCTCAGGCCAGAGGCCCACCCTTGCATCTAGGGGCTACCTTCTTCAGGGTGGTATCATTTCTGGTGGGAAAGCTGACTCAGTAGGGCAGAGCACTCTGCTCTTGGCACCTGGGCTGTTCTAAAAGGAATCTAATCTTTCCTCCAGCAGGAGGAATTAAGCAGCGGAGAATGCATCTGTTTGAGCCTGTAATTTACCTGCCAGTGTGGGGACTGATTGGTGACACTGAAATACCCTTCTCCCCTCTGAACTGGCAAAAACCTGAAAGTTTAACAACTTAATGGCAAAGCTGGGAGAAGCCAGTGGTCTCCTAGGTTGCTGGTGTGAAAACAAAATGGTACAACTATTGAGAGGAAATTGGCAACATTCAACAGAGATGGATGCATTTTGCTCTTTGACCTAGCAATCTCACAGCTAGGAATCTTCCTGGATACACCATCCCATTGTGCAAGCATATGCACAAATTGTTCACTGCAGGGTTATTTGCAAGGACAACTCACAAATAGTAGAAAGAAAAAACAGGGCCTGGAGAGATGGTTAAGAGTACTGGCTGCTCCTCCGGAAGACTGGGATTCAAGTCCCAGCACTCACATGGTAGGTAGCTCACAACTATAACTCCAATTCCAGGGGATCCATCCAAAGTCCTCTTCTGGCCTCTTCGGGCACTGCATGCATGTGGCGCACAGACACACATCCAGGCAAACATTCACACACATAAAATAAAAATAAAGTATCAGGGGTGGGGGTGGGGTGGCGGGGGAAGGTTGACTGTATGCTAGCACTGGTAATAGCTATCATTAAAAAAAGTAACTTTACCTTAAAATGCTCAAACTCAGTACTGCTAAGAACTTTGCCACTGTGTACTTTGTGATGGGATGTGAGACTGAATAAACACACCTGTCTACACAGTATCCTTGCCTTCCATAAGCATCACCTGTACCTGACCATGCCTTTAGACCCAACTGCCAGCTCACAGTAACGTGGTGGTGGGGGGATCAAGTTAACCGGCATAAGAGTCATTAACCACATCCCAAGGTGGGGTGCTTGACAAGAAACATCATTTGGAGGGTGGACATGCTGGTGCACACCTTTAATCCCAGCAGTCAGTAGGGAAGATCTCTGTGAATATAAGGCTGGCCTGGTCTATACAGTGAGTTCCAGGACTATATAGAGAGAGACCCTGTCTTAAAAAATAAATAGGGGGCTGGAAAAATGGCTCAAACAGTTAAGAGCACTGGCTGCTCTTACAAAGGACCCAGGTACAATTCCCAGCACCCACATGGCAGTTCACAACTGCCTATAACTCCAGTTTCAGGGGATCTGACACCCTCACACAGACATACATGCAGGCAAAACCCTAGTGTACATTAAATAAATCTTAAAAAAAAAAAAAAAAAGGACATGACTTGGGTTCTTTCAAATGTAATATTATGAGAAAACAAAATAACAGAATGGGGTATAGTAAACAAATACAGTGTGTAAGCCTTAATTAAATGCTGTTTTTATTACGCTATAAAAGAACATTTGAACATTTAGGGAAACATAAAATGTGGACTGTATAGAGGGTAACAGAATTAGTGTGATCTCTTAGGGACAAGAACACGTCACATACTTTCAGTACAAACACACAACAGCCACATGTGTCAATGCTATTCATAGATTAACAAGCAGTAGCTGTGCTAGTCTCTGTCACAATCATGAGTTAGGGAGGGAATCATCTCAGTTTAGGGGGCCAAGAGGAGTCCTCACACTACACCGGGACCCTTCAGTAGGCAAGGACACCGGCACACGTGTGCAGTGCTTTACGACTCAAACACTTTCACAGAATTGCAGCATACAAAGGAAAAGTGCAGGTCTGGTGACTGCCTACCTCCAGAAGCTCTCCACAGTCCTCTCCTAGTCATCACCCCAAAGACACCCACAAGCTTTCCCTCCATCCTTCAGTTTTGCCTTTAGGACTGCAGTGGTCCAGCAACATGGTTTTACATGCTTTCTTTTACTCAACACGGGGTTCATCCCTATCATATAAAGCAACTGTAATTACTGTATTACAGTGACTCAAGGACACTGGCAATGTCTGGAGACATTTTTGGTTAGGAGAGTTGGGTTACTACTGCAACTAGGAATGCTGCTCAACAGCCTACAATGCAGAATCGCCACCTATGAGGGGCGTTGGACATGTCTGTGCGACACTGACGAAGGGCTGCAGCATGGTATTTTTAAAAACTTTTATTATTTTTCATTATTATTAGTGTTGTTGTTGGTGGTGTATGTATACACAAATACCTGTGAAGACCAGAGGTGTGAAATCCCTCTGGAAGTGAATTCATGTCTTCTGCAAGAGCAGAGAGTGCTCTTGCCACTGAGTATCTCTCCAGCCCCACTGTGCAATAGTCTGTTCTATGGCTTTAACACATTTGCCTTCTATTGTAGATGAACATTAGAAACGTTTCTGGGTTCAGATATCAATCAACTTTCACATCCATCTTTGAGGAGCAAAAGGCACCTGGCCATCTGGGAATTAATGTCTTAGCGCTTGTTCATTTACTGAGTGCATTTATTCAGGCCCAGTATTTGGGAATTGCTACTCTGGAGTATGGGGACCTGACAGGTCTCTATGCACTATGCATTTACACATTTGCTGAGCATTTCCCATGAGCCACACCTCAACAGTAGAGCAGGGACACAGTCAAGCTTTATTCTTCATCCCATGCTCACATTAGTGGGAGAGACAGAAACGAAACAGGGAGGTCAAGAGAAAGCTGGTTTTGCTGAGGGGAGAGGAATTTGACTTTGTAAATAAAAAGTTTGAAGAACCTAAGATATTTCTATGGAAACATCTACCTGAAAAGTCAGCCTGCAGAAACATGCAACATCACTATCTACATAAGAACTCACTTACATGGAATTAACAGAGGAGCGGGAAGCAAAACAGGCCCAGGGAGAGCTTTGATGAACTTTAGGAAGAGTCGCCATGAGCAAGAGAGGGAAGGACTGGTGCAGAATTAGGAGTTTTCATCTTTAACTCCACAAGAAATGAAGGAGAATCAGGCTGAAAATAGAGGTAGCAATCAAGAGTGACAGACACTGAAGGAAAATTAAAGGACAAGAGTCAAGGTATTCAAGGGGCTAGAGAGGTGGCTCAGCAGTTAAGGGCACTGGCTGCTCTTCCAGAGGTTTTGAGTTCAATTTCCAGCAACCACATGGTGGCTCACAACCATCTACAATGGGATCTGGTGCTCTCTTCTGGCATGCAGATGTACATGCTGATAGAGCACTAATACATTAAAAAAAAAAAAAAAAAAAAAGTCAAGGTATTCAAATTGGCAGTGAGTTAAGAACACTGAAAAGGGACTCACTGTGGTGATGGTCACTTATCTTTGAATATAGTAAGAACGACCGATTTGTACACTTTAAATATTTAATATTGTTTGACATGAATTATAGCTCAATAAAGTACATTCAAACACACAGAAAACATTCTTAGAAGTGGAAAGAGGCACTAAGAAATGAACAAACTATGAAATAGCTATAAACGTTTTGTTGTTGTTTTCTTCCCAGCATAAAAAAGAATATTTACAGTCAGGAGAAAACTCCTACATGATGATGAATAAGCCAGAGGAAGGGGCAAACTGGCCGAGGAGTCTAAAAAGAAAAGGGAGAAAACCCAAAAAGCAACACAGAAAGGAAGCAGCTCTTTCCCCGAGGAGGGAAGACTGGAGGAAGATGTGACAGGCGATGTTAGCAAGGAAGAGGGTCTCAGAGCAGCAGAGTTGGGCTGATCAAGGAACCCAGTGGGGAGATAAGGCTGGAAAGATCTCAGAACACACATGGAAAAACCATGCTCGTTCAGTCTATGGTTGATGTCACTGGTCACATTTCATACCAACAGTGCACCTAACAGCACTAACTGGACATCCACAAATTCTCTTCATTCATTAATGAGACTAGCATCAAAAAGTAGCCATTCACAGAATTCTTATTTGTGGCTGGAGCCAGCTATGTAGCTCAGATTGGCCCAAAACTCATAATCTGGTATCGCAAGTGTGTGTACCACCAAAACCCCTCTCCCCCTCTTTTTTTTTCAAACAGGGTCTCTGTCTACATAACCCTGGAACTTACTAGACCAGGCTGTCCTCCAACTCAGAGACCTGCCTCTGCCTCCCAAGTGCTGGGATTAAAGGCACGTGCCTCCACAACTTTTTTTCCTGTTGTTAATGTCACTTTATTGTACATTTAATTTCAAAAATTAAATGAGAGAGTGATAGACAGAGAGTTTTGAGTTGGTTGGCTATGAGGCTATGATCCAGATACTTTGTAGGTTACAGCTCAAAATTTTTCAGCAACTATGTCACACAATGTTTTCTTAGTCCTGGAATTTGTTACTGAGAATTTGAAGTTAATGGGGCCAAAGAGACAGCAAGCAGCATGTGGAGTTAGCAAGTAGATTATGCAGAGGTCTGATTTGCTGATTCCGTCAAAGACACTACGCATCCTCAATCTGCACACTACTTTGTTTCTATGCAACACTGCATTGCAGAACACTTCTGCTTTTACAAACTCTGTGGAGCTAAGGACATAGCTTACTGGTAGAACATTTGTGTAGCATGCCAAGGATCTAGGCTCAACTCTTAGCATTGCAAAGAAAAAGACCATCTCAGTGTCATCTAGCATGCTACTTGTTTTTACTACATTGTCTGCGTACACTTCTTTTCTTGAGAAGCACAATTCTTTTAAAAAAGATTTTCACTTATGTATATGCACATGTGTCTGTGTGTGGGCAAGTGCAGAGGCCAGAGGCTGGAGTTAACAGGAGGTTGTAAGCCACCTGACTTGTGTGCTGGGAACCAAACCTCTGCAAGAGCAGTATGCATTCTTTCTTCTTTTGTTTTAATACCTACATTCCATAGGGAAAAAAAAATTTATTTTATGTGTATGGGCATTTTATTTGCATGTGTGTCTGTGCACGATGTGCATGCTTGATACCTTTTAAGATCAGAAGAAAGTGTCAGATTCCCTGGCATTGGAGTTACAGACATTTGTAAGTCACTATATGCATGCTCAAAATTGAACCTGGGTCCCCTAGAAGAGCAACCAGTACTCTTAACCAGATTCAGTCTTAACCTCTGAACCATTGTCCTAGTAGGGAGAACACATGGTTCTTAAATTCTTTGTTTGTGATTCAAATATTAGAGTAAGAACTAGAGTCCAGTGGCTTACCTCTGAGGATCTTTCTTCAGGCCAACATCAACCTGCCAATCAATAAATCTGGTTTAGTAATATGAACACAAATCAACCTAACTGTAACTTATTAAAGGTATACGTACTTCTTGTACCTACTAGGACACAGAGTATTTTGTCCTCAAATGAAACCTAAATGTACTTACATCCAGCAACCCACTATTTACTACAGTGGGACAAGCTCTGTATGTATGTCTGTGAGGGTGTGGTCTGTGTGGCAATATGTAGAAGCCAGAGGACAACATAAAGATGTCTTCATCAATAGGGCTTCTCACTGAACCTGGAGAACAGTTTCAGCTAGGTGGGCTGGCCAGCCAGACATGCAGCAGCATCCACCTGTCTCATAACACTGGCAGTACAGGTGTACCACGAAGCCTAGCTTTTTCTATGGGCGCCAGGGGCCTGAACTCTGGTATTCATGCTTGTATAGAAAGCGCTTTACCCACAGAGTCATTTCTCCAGTCCCATATTTTTGCTATCTACGTTTAGAAAGATTGTTTTTATTTACATGTGTTTGTGATACCTGTGTATGTCATATGTGTGTAGGTTCCAGTAGAGGGCACTGGGTTCCTTGTGGCAGAGACTCTAGGCTGCCAGGAGCTGCCTGCTATAGGTGTTTAGGAACTAAGCTCACGTGCTCTGAAGGAACAGCAAGTACTCTTAGCTGCTAAGCCATCTCTCTAACCCTAGTTCCAATCTTTCACCCAAAAGAAATGTGATCTGCATCACTTTGCTTTTGCCTTTCTGAAGTCTGACCATTCATCAGTTCTTACATTAGAGACAGCTGATGTGTACTCTAAGAAAATTCCAGCATACCAACCTCTACTGTAGTTCTCCCTAACTGTCTATGTAGGAATTCTCAAAAGCTCTGAACAATGTTACAACGTTGAAATTACTCTGTATGTAAATGTTATCTAATTTATCTGATTTAAAGAATACCAATTTGGCAGAATGGTGGTGGCACACACATTTAATTCTAGTGCTCAGAAGGTAGTGGCAGGTGGATCTCTATGAGTTGGAGGCCAGCCTGGTCTACAACCTGAGTTCCAGGACAGGAACCAAAGCTACACAAAGAAATCCTGTCTTGAACCCCTTTCCAAAACAAACAAACAAAAACCCCAAGCCCCCAAAACAACGAATTAGATTTAACCCAAATAGGTATTCTTAAAAAATTCTTCAATCTCTTTGAATTTAATTCCCTTGGACTATCCTTACCCAAGTTTAAAGAACACAAGTAGAGAATTCTTTTCTTCTTTTTTATATACTCAGTGAACTCACTGCATTCAAGCATCATTTCCTAAAACAAACTCAACACTTATGTTAAAATCATGATCAACTAATAATATGCCTGAATAGTACATCAAAATATGTAAATACCAGACTAAAGGAGAAACTCCCTAAAACCAAGTATACTCACCACAGGTGATTCTTTAGCAAACAAGGATCTTGGCAGCACTAAAAACTTTCATCAAAATATTTATCAACACCACTAAGGCAATACCCATCTATTCTAATTCACTCAGCAAATATAGTTTTGTTTTTGTTGTTGCCATTTTTGTTTTTGTTTTCAAGACAGGGTTTCTCTGTGTAACAGCCTTAGCTGTGCTGGAACTCAATCTGTAGACCAAGCTGGCCTAGAACTCACAGAGACCCCCTGCCTCTGCCTCCTGAGTGCTGGGATTAAAGGCGTTCAACACTAAGTCTAAGTACTGGTGCCTGAAATCTCTACACTTTTATGGAAATCATTCATAGAAATGTGTAATGTTTTTTTTAAAATATATATCAAGATATCATCAAAGTTATGTTTGTCTTAAAAATCTAAAAAGCCAGTCTTTAGCCCAGAATAGTGGCACATGACTTTTTAAGTCCAGCACGCTGGAGGCAGAGGCAGGATCTCTTTGAGCTGGAGGCCAACCTTGTTTACACAAAAAGAGCTCCACACAAGCCAGGATTATGTAGGGAAACCTTGTTAGAAAAAGAAAAAAGGAAGAAAGAAAGAAAAAGAAAGGCCAATCTGTAGTAACTTAGAATCTGGTTGTTTCTAAAACCGGATGACTTACGGAAAGGTCCGTTTTATCGGCAGTCCAAAGTTATGAACACCCCCAAGTAATGCATGTTAAACTGTTTAATTTTTTTTTCAGAGAAACACATAGATGCATTTTGCAACTGACTAAAGATCAATTCCCCTAACAAGCCAAACCAATGACCAGGAGAGAACGGTGTCTGGATAAGAACGAGTCTAACTGAGGAAGCCCCCTTTCCTTCATTCCTAGGCTTACTCTTGTTCCACGGTTCAAGAGTCATATAGAATCACCTCCAGAGACTCGGTTCTAATTAACAGAGGGATCCACACTCCGCGAGAAAGCAGAGACGCCTGGGCCGGTCTGCGGCGGGGTACGTGCGTGGTGGGAGCCCCTCCCCTTTTCCCTCACCTGCTAGGACGCCCCCCCCATCGCAACCACCTCCCTCTGGGAGGCCGGCTACCAGTCCTTGGCATTTAGTGTCGCACCCCAGGCCGCAGACCCTTCACCCAGCGTCGCCTGCTAATCCCAACGTGCATCAGGGGTTGGGGGAAGGAGGGCGGCGGAATCCGGGAAGTGGGACTCTCCCACAGAACCCAGGAAGTTGGACATACCCTGTTCGGACCACCAGGTGCGCGGAAGGCGAGCGGCGCTGCCCGCCGTCAGCTAGATACTCACCCCTCGCCTCAGGCAAACCCCTCAGCGACGTCTCTCCTTCCTGACGGCAGCCATCTTGGATGCGGAATGTCGGGCCGCTACGTCATCAGCCTGCGCCTCGTGGCGCTGAAAGCGACTGGAGGGCCGGCGAAAGTCAGGTGCCCGCCAGCCAATTAGAAGAGAGTAAAGCTCAAAGAAAAAGAAGTAACGAGTCCTTCGTCACCTCTCCGCCTACCCTGTGGCCTGTAAGGGGAAGAGGGCCGCTCGAACTGCCCCTCCCACACGCCCCGCCCTCAGGGGGAAAGGGAGTTCGGGAGCAACCGAACCTGTTAACGGAACTTAGGCCTGAAGGCGGAGCCAGCGCGCCCGTCGTTCAATCACGACGCCACCATGAGCGGAATCTAACCAATTGGGCCCTTGAGCCTGGCTCCGCCCCCGTTGCCGTTGTCCAATGGCTGGGCAGTACCCTGGCTGAAGGGCGCTGGGCAGCGGGGCGGGGCCGCGCCGAGGCGTGTGAGGTACTGGCCAATGAGCGGCGGCGGCGGCGGCCCGCGGGGCGGGGCCCAGGGGCGGGCGGAGCCGGGTAGGGCCTGGGCGGCGGGGCTGTCTCTGGCCGCCGTCCCGCCCCTCCCGTCCGGCCGCCGCCGCCGCCACCGCCGCCGCCGCCGCCTGGGGGTTGGTTGAGGCGGACGGTGGGGTCCCGGCCGGAGTGTGGCGCCGCCGCCGCGCGTATTGAAGCGGGCAGGTGAGTGCGGGCGGCAGGCTCCCGCGTGCGGCCCGCGGGCTGAGGGGACAAGGTTCTGTCGCTTCCGACGCCGTGAGGCCGGCCGGGCGGTCGCCGACGTCCGGCGTGCCGCTGCGGCCGAGCTCTTTGGGCCCGGGCGGCTGCGGTCACAGAGGCCGGGCCGGGCCGGGCCGGGCCGTGCCCCGAGGGGGCTCGCGCGCGCCCGCCGCTCCCCTCCGCCCCCGGGACGTGGGCAGGCGGCAGGTGCAGGCAGGGCGCGGCCTGGGCGCGGCCTGGGCGCCGCCCTCGGGTGCGGCCGGGGCCCGGAACGCTCGCGCGCGCGGGGCGCCGGGACTGAGTGCGGCGGGCTGCAGTCTTGGTTCCCTTCCTCCAGTGGCGGGCGCGCGGCGTGCGGCCGAGGCGCCTCTCCCCGCAGCCCTCTCTCTGCGGCCCACCGGGAGCCCGGCCCCCGCGCCTTGTCCTCCGCTGCCCGCTCGCAAAGGCAGGCGTAGAAAATAGGTCATGTTTCTTCCCACGCGCCCCTGGCCGAGGTCCACACGCGACGAGCGCGCTTCGAGGGAGCAGCTTTCGGGGCTCTTGGAGTTTGCCTTTCCGGTTTTCAACTCTTCCTCCTTGCTGCTCCAGCCTGGTTGCCGCTCTTGGAGAAGGAGCTGATTAGTGACGTGCGCCACTGGCTGCGGGGGGTTGAGGGGGGGCTCCCTCCCTCCCACCCCCTACCCCCGCCCGCCCTTGGAGGACGTTGGAGCGGTTCAGAAATGTGCACATGTTGAGGATGACTTGGGGCATGCTGTATTCCATTTCTAAACGACCCCGGTGTTGTTTCCAAAAGCAAAACCACTTGGACAGGGTGTTGACGGTAATTTTGCCTTGCAGACTCTTAGAAGAGTTGACTCTTTAGTGATGGAACTGCAGGCAGGAAGGCTGAGGCCAGGGATCATGAGGTCCAGGCCTGCCAGAGCTACACAGAGAGACCCTTTGGAAAACACAAAAACTTAAACCTTATTGGATACTGAAAAGTGTGGGTTTTTCACATGAAAAATGATAACTGTCCCCGTTTTTCCTTTCAAAAGCGATCTTGAGGATATTTTAAAGATGAGTTTTAAACAGGGCCAGTCTTGAGGAGTTTTAAGTGACTTCTCCGTAAGAATACAGCCGTGTAAGAGGACATTTCCTCTCCCAGCTAGTCTGTCCAGATCCACTGGAGCCATTACCTACACTTGTGTATATGGGCTACAACCTGTAGAGGCCCACTTTGTAGATTGGACTCTGGAGTGCAGCGATTGATATTTTGGTGAAATTCCAGCCATTTGGGAATGAGTCTTTGTCTTAAGCCAAAAACAGTTTGCAAAGCCAAGTTCTGAAAAAGCTACAGAAAAATCTTTCTGGGACTCCAAATAACCTTGGTCTTTATCCTTCTATCTCCTCTCTTTGTACTCCCTTCTTTTGCTTGAGTTCTTACTAATATCTGGATCAGGAACTCTAGTGATTGCTGCTCTCCCCCCCCCCCACCCCCTTTCACTGTGTGAACATCTCAGCAAGTGATGCTGAACTTGAAGATTTAGACGTTTGTGCTGATGTGGGCTCTAGCAATGAGAGTTTCTGTTCCTTTTCTGTGTATCAATGTTCAGTGAGATTCTTACAAAGAAAGAAGCACTGTTAGCGGTGGCATAGCTAACAGAACCCCCAGCTACTTGGGCCTGAGACAGGAGGGTCTCAGGGCTGGTTGGGGATGTAGCTCAGTGGGAGAGTGCTTGCTTACTGTGTGAGAAGACTGGGTTTCGTTTTCAGTATTACACCTGTTTAAAAATGCTATCGATTATCTTTTCTATGTGATGCATATTTAGGCCAAATTTAAAGATGATTAAACCATTTCTTTAGAAGCCACCTGGTAATGAGACAGTGAGAAGGTTCTGCAGGCAAACCACTAGAAAACTCCTGTTTTTGTGTTTAGCTCTGTGATGAATAGTCAGCAACCTCCTGAAATCTTGATCACATCTAAAAGAGAATGACAAAGTAGCGACAGAAACACTGGGGAGGCTTGCTTGTAGGGAAACCTAGTAGAGTCCCCAGTGCCCTGACCTGATCCTCAGCTACTCCAGCACCTTATATATAGTGGGGTAGTGTTTGCATCTGAGCTGCACACTAACCTCTCTCAGTTTGAGCTGTTTGTAAGTTACTTCCAATACCTATTAAAATGTCCTTGCTATGCCAGTAGCTGCTACACTGTATCCTTCAGGGAGTAGTCACCAAAAAAGGTTTGTACATATTAGGTAAGGGTGACCTTCCTTCCCCTTGCATATTTCTTCTGTCTGTAGTTGAGTTTGCAGTGGAGCATCAGATGAATGGAATTTTTGTAAAAATGTGAGAGAACTATACTATGGCTCTGCAAGCTGTATGAGGTTTTCCAAGTTTCTGAACTGTGTGTTATAAAGTCTGTCTCACTTTGACTCATAAAAGTGGGTTAGAAATGTAACTGTGTCTTTGTTGTGTATAGTTTGATGGAAGGCTCTCCATCTTTAGAACATGGTTGCTTGCTCTTGACTACAGAGCTGATTTTCCCGAAACAGACAGATTTTAGTGTGTTTCTTCCTTTTGGATCAGAAGTACGGGGAATAGAGGCAAGCTGTATTGCTCTAAAGAAGCAGAGTAGCCATTTATTACAATTGGATTACTTTAATGTAACAATGACTATATTATTCTGATGTTCTGTAGAGGTTTCTGTGGTGAGGTGTTTGCTTTCTCTATTAGCTTACAATTTCCACTATTATATTTGGACTCAGTTTGTGTTAGTGAAGGATGTTTGGAATTGCTGTGTGTCTTTTTCCTTCTGCTACAGTGAGACCAGTTCATTCTGGCTTTTTTTTGTTTGTTTGTTTTTTGTTTTTGTTTGTTTTGGTTTTTCTGAGACAGGGTTTCTCGGTGTAGCTTTGGAGTCTGTCCTGAATCTAGCTCTATAGACCAGGCTGCCCTCTGCCTCCCCAGTGCTGGGAGCCTCATACTGGTTTGTATTGAGTCTCTTGAGATTATTGTAGTAAAGAGCTCTTGCTTTTCAGGTTTTCTGCTTTGCACCTTTGTTGTCTTATTTGGCAAAATTTATTTCTGTATTGGTTTCATTTTTGTTCTAAAACTTGGAGTTGTTAATTGTTTTGAAATGAAAATATTAATTCACCTTTTGATTTGTTAAATCTATTTTTAAGCTGGACTTGGGAGGCAGAGGCAGGTGGATCTCTGAGTTTGAGGCCAACATGGTCTACAAGTGAGTTCCAGGACAGCTGGTGCTTACACAGAGAAACCCTGATTGGGCAAAAAAGCAATTTAAAAAAACTTATTTATAGTTTTCTTTTGTGTTTGTATTTGTGTGCATGTGTGGGTGAGCGCTAGTGCCATCCAGAATGTATGTATGTGTACCATGCCTGGGCCAATAAAGGCCATAAAAGGAATACAGAGAACTGGATTTACCACGAGGCTTGGAGCTGCCAGATGTGGGTGTCAGGAACCAAATGCAGCTCCTGTGAAGGAACATGAACATGAAGTGCTCTTAAATGAGTAGCTATCTCTCTCTGGCCCCCTATTGTACATTGAAGTTGAACCTTATGAAAAAAAGAATCAATTAGAAGACTATGCAGTCGTGTGTGTGTGTGTGTGTGTGTGTGTGTGTGTGTGTGTGTGTGTGAAGTTTGTCTGGTAACATAAGACAGAGATGAACCTTGTAGGCTTTATTTCCACGAGTCTCCCCTAGTTTTTTGAAATAAACACATCATAAGACTAGGTTCACAAACATACTTATTGACAAGTTTCAAGTGAAAAAAATGGAATAAAATAATTACACATAAAATTCAATGTTGAAGACTTGGAAATTCTTTTCTCAATAGTCTCCCATGGAGACAAGGTTTTTGCTGAAGTCAGGCTTTTCCAAAGAAACTGAGTGATTTCTGATTACCAGGCCAAAGTGAATGTTTAACCTTTGGCAAATCTCACCTTAGTAATGGGTTAGGATGGGGGCAGAGGAGGGCAGATGGTTAGAGCCAAAAGAAATGTTTTAATAGTCTTTAAGGAAACCTAAAGGTTGTCTAGAGGATACAAACGATTGGATGTCTACAATAATGCTTCCCTATATATTTTTTTGACAAGTGAAATTTGCATATACCTAGTAGTCAGTAATACTTGGCATTCTGGGGTTATCACTGTGTGTGGTTCTGAGTTTCACTTTGCTTCTGAAGCACTGGGGTTGAGTCCAGTGCCTCCCAGGCAAGTGGTATGCACCTCTAGGCTTTAAAAAAGTCATTTTTTATTTTGAGATAAGGTGTTCATAGGTTGATTAGTGTTGTCCTCAAACTTTTTGTTTGTTTTTCAAAGCAGGGTGAGTTTCTCTGTATAGCTCCAGCTGTCTTTGATCTCTCTGCAGACCTGGCAGGGTTTAAACTCAGAGGTCTATCTGTCTGCCTCTGTCTCCCAAGTGTTGGGATTAAAGGTGCCTGCCACCATTACCTAGC